TCTACGTCAATAGTAAATACTTTTTACTATACAAAAATGCCTGAGTACAATACTGCATTAAAGAAAAAGTATTGGAATTTTCTGGTGAAAGGGGGGGTCCGAACCCCCTGGATCCGCCCTTGTTTCTAGTCATCTTTATATAATAATGCACCACATCACACCGCTAATACTATCTATATTATTGTATACTATGTCTTCCATAACTTCTTGATTCTTTTTTTAATCTCCATAAATATGTATTCAGCATTCTATAACTATTTATTATACCAGGAAAATAAATACTGTATTTCAATCATATCTTGACAAAAACAAAGGTGCTGAGTGTGTATGCAGGTTGTTCATACACATATACTGTACAGTGTACTCTAAACCTTGTTCTTTAAAGGCTAATATTATGTATACAAATATACATACACATGAATACAAATGAAAATAGTTCCCATGAGGCCAGAGAAAATATTATTTACCTAAACAACTTGCCATATAAATTTACACCTAAAAGATATCAGACACTGCATTAAGATATTTGTTAGAGAAAATTACTAAAGAGATCTGTGTGTGACTTAAACTATTTAATATATTATGTAATAAATTTGTCAATCTACCATTATTGTACTTGTACAACTCCTTAAACACCTATTCTTTACTTAGATACACACCAAAATAACTAAAGACCAGAGGAGCATCAAACAATTGCACTTAATATCAGCTTCTCATTGAAACGGAACACCTCATCATTCCACATCAAGCATGACTATGATTTTGTTGATCTATTTGGTTAAAAAAAACATTAATAATATCTCTTTATTGGCAAATATAAACACTAAAATTCAAGCAACATAACTTAGTGATTTAAAGAGTAAAACAGTACAAATTGTACTCAGCAGCAGATATACCATGGGGGGAAATGCAGTGTTCTGAAAATTGGGGTTTCAATTACACTATTAAATCTAAATTTTTCAAGTTTAGAATATGGGCATGGAATTCCAAATAGTAGCCTGTCGTCCCGGCATATGTTGTTAGCATGACAAACCAAGATATACCCATGTTACGTGTACCAACTAGATTACTCCAATTACGCATCAACAAACAGGCATAAAATAAAGTTTGGAGATTATTAAATCCTTCAACAGGTCTAATGTGAATTAATAACCAGAGTTAGCCCTACCCAAATATTTTCCTTCCTACATTAAGAATTTCTAAAAGAATCTACAGCTTTGATGACACAGCTAATGAATCATCAAGTGATACCCATTTCATATAGAGATACTGCACTGTAATTGGTTAGATGACTTGATTTCACTTCCATCATGTCTCTCTGTACAATGTGGTCAGTCCAAGTAAACCTGATTATAGTATTATAACTATAGTGCCATTTCTGCCAACCCTGTAACTGAGAAAATCCCAGGGATATCATTCACAGAATAATAGACTACATTCAAGATCCTGATACCTTGATTTGTTTTCTGCTGTATGCCTAAAAGTGATTAGTCAATACAATTAGGCAACAATAACAAATGTAAAAACTAACTTTACATATACCGTACATGTATATGGCAAAAATAATTTTTTAAGTTCCATTTAAAATCTTTTGAGGTAAAAATTTTTAACATCTTTAACCCTCAGCAGAAAGATTAGACTACAAAAATGAAGTTCTGGTATCCACTAAACAGTTCAATCTACAGCAAAATCCAACTCCTAGTGTGCTGTAGTTGCTTTCATTTGGTAAACCAGTTCTTAAATTCTATTATTCGTCTCTGGCCTATGACCAGTCTCCCTGTTGTCACTATCTAATATAACTAAACAGTCATGGCTAACATCCCTCTCACACTCCTGTCTCCCCAGCCATTCTTTCTTTTATGTTATTCTTATTTAGCCTTCAGTACTTCTTTATCATTCCAATTGCATTTTTTCCAAGCTGACATGGTTACTCTCAGTCTGCTATTAACAGTCCTCTAACAAAAAATTGTCTTGATAGTGACAAAATTACTAAATTTTTCTTCTAATACTGTTATACCTACTTTGGTTTTATTCATATACATTATCTTACTAAAAATATAACAATGAAAGCCACCCCCCCCCCCGTGAATTAAACACTACTTGTATGACCAAATTTTACATTATCTAAAATAAGATTCTTCTGCACAAGGGTTACCTTAATTTCCTACTGTATACCCTGGTTTTGAGGAGCATCAAGTTCATCCCTCTTCCTCATTTACCATAAAATGTGTTATTCATATAATACTTCCATATTAGTACACAATTAATTTGCATGATTTAACAATCTAAAAGAGACTATACTTATGAGGACTGACTTTAGGTGCATCCTTATTACATGACAACTTACAGCTAAAGCAAATTAAAATACAGAATATACAGTATTACCCTGCTTTACGCGGTTTCACTTTCCGCGATTTCTCATTTACGCGGTGCCTCGCCAGAACCAAACTTTCACATTCCGCGGTGCATCTACTCATATACGCGGGAAGCGGTGCGGGCAGGATGCGCACAAGGTCGCCCAGTCATCAAAACATTACCGAGTTCTTCACCCGCCACCCACCACAGCCGGCCTAAGTCAGTGATAGTGAGGATATGGCCTTATATGGACTTTGAGGGGTTTGACAAAGAGGCCCTGCAAGCTTATGTGGTGGATTGTGATACAATTGATACAAGTGATACAGGCGAGGGCCAATAGTCTGCCCTCTGCCTCGGAACCAACCCCCCATCCCTGTGTGCCCAGCCATCTTTTCTACTAATGTAAGTGTTAAAAAACTAATATTATTGATATTTCTCTTAATTATTAATTGTGTGTGCATACCATCATAAAGTTAAGATAATATTTTTACTACAACATAGTTGTGTGTCGTCAAAAAGTGGAGTTTGGGGGTCGGGCCAGTCTCTATTGGAATTAATCCCATATGTTCTGTTGTTCACTTTATGCGGTACCCTGTGGGTTCAATTGACCGCGTAAATCGGGGTACTACTGTACTTAAATTATAGTTTTTCATTTCAGGACCTAAACACACAGAAACACCACCTCTACATATTTCACCGCCAAAAGCTCTTCCTCATCCTAGACTGCAGTAAAGATTAGTGAATCCTGAGTGTTAACTTTCACTGTGGTGTCATGATAAATTATTTATTCTTCTACAACAGTGAGCTATTGAGTGGACATGTTATGGTAATAAGTTCTATTTTCAAACCATAACGGCTTTGTCAATAAATTTGTATTTATTCACACCACTGACGAAAGTTGCCAATATATCATCAACTAAGTTTACACAGATTCAAGAAACACAATTTCCCCTACAGATGGCAAGTTTCTAATGAAGAAAACTTCCTACACCATATAACTTCCAACTGCCCAAAACACATTGATGACAGGGATGACTTGATGAATAACTGAATTATATATGTACAGTATACTGTTCATAAATTTCCATAATACATGGGAGTGGAGGTGATTTTGGCCTTAAGAGCTCCAAAGGTCCCTGAAATAAAATGCACGAGCAAAATCTTTTTTAAAAGAGGAAAAGGTGGCACCTGTAAATAGTGACTTACTATATTGGCAGTTTATAGTTCTGTCACAAGTTAAACACGATCATGTGGCCACCTATCCCCGACAGAGTACTACCACATTGGTAACAGCCACACTATTTATGGCTATCATGAATAACTGGTACCTTGCATATACAAATGCAATGTTTTGTATTAACAGAGGATTCACACTTAGATAATGTGTTATCTTGCAATTAAATTTGTTGACACCTTAGGCTTTACTTATGTGATCTGTACAAGAGATATTGTTGTGTAGATAGATGATAATGGTTGTATGGGTATCTCACAGATTGAACAACATAGGACTTTTTTTTCAGATGAGAGAATCATAAGAAATCAGAGAAATTAACACAAGAGGAAAGAGTCAGTTTAGCTCTCCTGTACAGAGAGTCAGATACTACATATCAATCACTTGCAAAAGAATTGAATCGATAAAACCCACCTGCTAGTGCGTTGTTGGTTAAATGAATTAGTGTGCAGCATTATGCTTTCTTTACATAAATATTAAATGGACTCTTTCTTCACTGATTATATGGTATGAATCCCTCGCCCATAAAAGAAAGAACATCTCTTCCAATGGTGTTCGACCTGAAAGACTTCTAAAAAACATGCTAGTGCATGATCTCTATGTATCAGTACGGTATGTAAAAATATGAAAGTCTTGGAATACTGTGCTTATCAAGTGAGGATTCTTCCATGTAACAGAAAACATTAAACATCACACAGGAATATAGCAGACCAAAGAAGCAGAAAAAAAGTATTTTTCTTACAAGAGACACGGGGCAAAAATACTTGAAAAAAAAAATATATATATATATATATATATATATATATATATATATATATATATATATATATATATATATATATATATATATATATATATATATATATATATATATATATATATATATATATACATATATATATATATATATATATATATATATATATATAACATATATATATATATATATATATATATATATATATATATATATATTATATATATATATATATATATATATATATATATATATATATATATATATATATATATATATATATATATATATATATATATATATATATGTATATATATATATATATATATATTACTACATACACATATATATACATACACACATATATACATATATTAAGAAAACAGAGGGTGAGACCAGGTCCACAATGGTCAGGTACAGACCTGGTCTCACCCTCCTCTGTATATATACACCTTGATTTGTATTTCTCTCTCTAGTCTGTACTCACCCCTGAAGATGTGAATTACACGAAAGCGCTTGGGAACTTCGTGTTTTCTTCTTTCCTTGTGGTTATCATATATATATATATATATATATATATATATATATATATATATATATATATATATATATATATATATATATATATATATATATATATATATATATATATATATATATAAGTACAGGGTATATACTGTATTACTGTAAATGTATATGTGCATGTGTGTGCATGTGTGTGTATTGCAAGTTTTCCACTATGACTTCTCTTCTTAAAAATGGTCTTTTTATGACATGCATATAAAGTACATATAATGTACTTAGAGTATTTAGTACAGTACGTACTGTATATATATACACACACACACACACATGCATACAATAAAAAAGGTGTTTGAAACTAGTTTGCACTGCTATAAACTTTTTTAACTTAAATTCCTGCATTTGGCCATTCATATACTGCATGTTTCAATTCCCATTGGTATGTTACTATACTGTATAACACTCACATCACAAACCCCAGTAGAAAATAAATAAGTTACTAATGTGAAACACCTAACCACCTCCTTAACTTATGCCTTTGATTTATCTGCAATATACAGTACATTACAAAATAACTTATATCATTATCTACATTTCTTTATGCCCACATAGCCTAAAAAAAGAGGATTGTATATACATCATATAAAAAACCTTGGGGTTTTATCAATATATACGTACACCTTATACAAATGTTCAACTTTTTTTTTAAAAGACTAAAACTAGGATTTAAAACAAAATGCAGATTCTCATACCTAAAATGACCAATACAGTTCAAATCCATACAAATTAACCCATTCACATTCCAGTAATGATGAGTATACCAGAATGCAAAATGATCAATGAAAAAAATAAAATAAATAAATAATAATAATACAAACGATTACAAAAAAATAAAATAAATAAATAAATAATAACAATATGTCAATACAAACCAACAAAACCTACCCTGCACTAGCCTATGATTGTTAGGTTTGGGGTGCCTGCATAAAGAACAGTTCTGTTTATGGGATTTTTTCTAATACAGTAGAGTTACAGAGTACACATATCCATATTACACAACCCTGCATAAATGCATCTGACCCCCCTGAACCGCTCTTATGCTTGGGTCTTGCAAGTCAACCCACCCAGCATCTCTCGCTAGCTCTACATGTTTATCAGGTGTCCATGCTTGTTTTAGATAATAACAAAAAATAAATAAAATTACAATACCCTCATGGCTTAGAAATAGACCATAATACGGAAAAAACCAACAACACGGGAGCGTATGTGTGGGAAGCGAACATATGTACTGTACAGTATTGAGGCAGTGAGCTGTAACTGCACTTTCCTTCCCTATGTGTGATGTTATGGCATACACACAGCGCAGCCACCCACGTCTGTGCATGACTGCCTGTCTGAACTGTGTCATGTCAACCAGAGGATGGTTTGAGTGTTTGTACATTTTAAGTGTTCATATGGTACTGTAGGTTAAATATTTGTGTTTATTTGTACATTTAAGGTGTTTGTATGGTACTGTAAGGTAAATTATTGCCATGGCGTCCTTCTCTCTCTCATACTGGTTCCGTGAACATCTTTCACGCGATCACTCTCATAAGTTTTCCTTTACTGGTGAATTTTACTGCAATCATGGCCCCTCATATGAAAATTAGTGTCCATGCTTGTAGTGGTAAGAAAAAAAAGAAAAAGTGGATACTGTGAGGACTTTTGATGAAAAAGTCAAGATATTGGATTTATTAAGGAGTGGCATATCAAACTCTGAAGTTGCGCATTGGTGTCTTTAGTGTAAAAAGGTGTGTGTGTGTGTGTGTGTGTGTGTGTGTGTGTGTGTGTGTGTATATATATATATATATATATAGATATAACCGACCCACAAATTGTTCGTGCCTACAGTTATAGACTGCGAACCGACAGCTCTTGCTATGTCCACAACTCACTATCCTTCTTCAAATCTCTTTATCGCATATAATTTAACTTCTAATGTAACACTTTTCCTCTTCTTTCTGTGACCACAATCAGTAGTGGTGCATTATGCATGTTTAGCGCTCACTGTTCTAGGGGCCCAAATAAACTTTTAATTGGATTTTAATTGAATGTTGGAAGAGCATAAAATATGGCGCTCACGCTGGTCGCTTACACAGCGCTGAGCACCTTCACACCAAATTTAAAAAATTGTCGTACCTTTATCATTTTCCTGCACATTAAAATTTTTGTTTTTCAACGATGTTATAATGAAACGAAGTTAACAGGGAAATGATGTACCTGTATTTATATATATTTGTACCCTGTACTTTCACGTATCATTATTACCTAGCTCATGTAATTATCTTAAGTGGAGCAAAGTATTTTTTGGTACAGTAAGTACCTCGATTACCTTACTTATCAGCTTTTCTTCCCCACCCATAGGTCGGTTAAATGAGTGTTTACTGTATATATATAGATAAAAGGGGGACCTGAATATGTACATGCATATTCGCACTTACACAGGTTCACATACTCAGAGACTCTACTGTACCGGCCATTTTGCAAGCTGAATCCTCTCACCTAACTGCAAATGGTGCATTCATTCACACCAACAATTGACTGATAAAAATTACTTAAAAACTGCACAAAATACTCTTTTCTCTTTCAAATTCATCATCTTGAATATTCAAATAGCAGATGTCGAGCTTTTGTCCAATTCAAATACTGTACAGTAACTGTTCGCGTATTACATTAATTTAGCTTGGCATGGGGTGGGGAAAAGGAGTAAAATCACCGAAGTATTTATCACACTTGCCAAAAACGAAAATTCCATCAGTATGGTGTCAATGTTTTATATTTTCTTTTTATAATTTTTCACTTATTTCTTTTTTTTCTCAATCAAATGTCCCAGTTAAAAATAAGAATGAATACTTATCTATTGTGCTAAAATGGCTATCATTTTCTTTATTATCTCAATTGCCAAACATAAAAACAAGGTCAAATTATCATATATCATACTACAGTACAATGTTTATCCCAAGTTAACCAACCTTTATATCAGTATGTAGATGCAATAGACCAGGTCACAATCAAATTCACTAAAGCACAATTTCATATACAGTGTGTATTCAGGCAGACATTTATGATGCCTTCTCGCATAATCCAATTCCCCTTCCCAGTACAGTACAGTATTATTAAAACTACTGCCATACATAATAACCATCTTACTGTTTTGGAATATTCTTAATACTTGAGAGCTTTTAAGGTGACATTACTGAAAGAACATGACCAATCCACAAATTAAAACGTCACCTGAACTGCTCTTTACATTCCATTTATTTTACCACAACACCAAATTACAAGATATTCGCATTTTCTGTATCAACACGTTTGGACTGAACTCCTTGTCGTTGAGCATTTGCATCTACTGGTTCATCACATAGTGTTAATTTCTGTATTTGTTCCATACCTTCTTTAACCACCTTCCCACCTACAGGTTTAATCATATCCTCCTCTTCAGTTCTGGAGTCTTCGGTCTCCATGAATTCTTCTTCCGTCTCTTCCAGAATGCGTCCAGCACTCACCTCCCTAACCAGGAGGTAACTCGACACTACTGCTGGCTTCAGAGGGTGCACTAATGTCCTGAACTTCCGGGCTTTTCTAGCTATCGATAACTTTTTCCTCCCCTTCAGAGATTGAGGCAGTGGGTTTAGGTGAAGCTGAGTGGAGGACTGAGACTGTGGGAATGACTTCCCCAGTAGGGGGGAGGATGGCCGTCTGAAATAAATGAAAACAAAACCAAAATACTACCTTAGTCATTTATAACAACAAGAGATTAAAACCTAATTTTCTTCTTTCATTATGTTTCCACTGCAACCTACGATTTCAGAAAGCAGTATTGAAATAGTATCCAGTTAATGAAATAACAAGTACAGGAGCCATGTAATGTCTACTAATTTTTTGCATCAAGTTTATGAAATAATCAGTGCTTTCTTTATGGTCAGCTCTAAACTGTCAATGTCCAATGTTGATCCCAAAAAAGACTCTCAAACATAATGGATCCGGTCCTACTGTAATGTGTTCAAAGAACAAACCAATCTAGCTGATATCAAAAGCATCAATTAATGCTTTACCTTCTAATAAGCATAATCAAATTCAGGCAGCACACTTTTACTCTAGGCCATAGAGTACAGTACAGTATAATGAAGGATATGTTCGGGTGTTTGTCAGGCATAAGGTAACCAGCTCCAAGTAATGTATAATGTCATCAACGTTCTCCAGTATTTTCATGGATGGGATAATAAGATATATAAATGAAAGCAACAGTAAAGGAGCAATGGTGCAATTTTGGGATATCATAAATTACTCAAATAGTCAGTGTGTCAGGGGCCCTTGTGGGTGATTCAGAGGAAATAATACAAATGCTAGTGGTGAGTGTGGAAGACTGTACTAGGAAGAAATTAACCCTTATATGGCACGTAAGGATTAGTTAATGCAATCCCTTATGGAGAAAGAAAAAAAAAATGGAATACAAGTAACATGAAACACCCACTGATGTTGGCTGTCATTTTTAGCGTCAATAGTGAAAACGAACAATCGTATTTACAAAAGTAAGAAGACAAGGGAGATGAAGAAATGAATGTTAACTTTCCTTTCAGAAATATCTTAGCAAATGGAACAGTTAATAGCAATAAAAAAAGAAAGGTAAAGCTGCAATAAGACACATGGGAAGAGAACCACATCAAAAGAGGCACAGATTAGGATGTACAAAGAACTGTAGAGCTGAAATTATCAAATGATGGTGAACAATCACCTCTGGATGCAAGAGGGAGTAGCATATTATATGTTAACATAATGATTTGCTTGAGAATTATATCGAGTCAATAGAATGAAGAGATAAGAAATTCAGAAATAAGGAGATGAGGTGATAGAGATCTTCGTAAAAACAAAGATCTGGGTTTAGGTTTACTCATGTGGTAAGGTCATACTGACAAGGTGGGGAGTAAAAGATTGCTAAAGTGTGGATAATTTAATTGTGGAGGGTCAAAGAGAGAGAAGACCAAGAAGATGGGATGAAGGACGCACCAGAAGTGAGGGAAATGGACGACCAGGAAGCGTCACTGTTTGTGACATAGCAGAGAGGCATCGAGTGACATTTGGGTGAGGATGTGTTGCTGATATGTGATGCTACATTGTGTTAAGTGACAAGGGTGGCTGGTACTGTAGTGTGATATTATGATGAAAACTGGTGGCTTCCTTGATTTTCTAAACTTCTGATTACAAATAGACAACATAAAATTAGACCCAAGGCAAAGGAGTATCACATGAATGCAGGTAGGAGAAAGGATTTCAATCCTCACACTGTTTTGACAATATACTGTACTTCAGAACTTTATTTTAAAGTATAAATTTCTTAAAAAAGCAAACATATTCCTGTCTCAGTTCTGTATTATGAAATTTTGTGCCTGTTTCTCTGTCAAATCATTTGCAGCATCCCCACTTTCTCAAATTGAATAAAATAATTTTTCAGATACAAAAGCTGTAATGAAATAGAGAGTAAACCAGACCAACAACTGCTGAGGTGTTTAGTTGCCTCTAAGTACTTCTTGTAGAGGCAGATGAATACTGTACAGTATATCATTATTTACATAAAAACTGGATGTATAATTTCAATTAATCCTGTTCCAGAGCAAAAAATTCCCAACATTTTAACTACAAATCTATACAAATGCTCAATTTACATTAATTGTATCATCTTTATCACCAGTACAGTATTTGAATGAGTTTTATAGTACAGTACTTACTCTTAAATCAAATGCTACACTGAATAGTCGGTTACTTAGTGAGAAGAGTTACTGTAAGAGGCATACAAGATGTTTCAAGCACAAAAAATGATGATAGTCATGTCTAACTTTCAACATTTGTGTATATAGACAAAGCCACAGCAATCAACTGAACACACACGATATTCTTACTTCAATTAAAACTTTAACTTGATTGTGCAAGACCTTCCACTAATAAGCAAAGAAAATCAAACAACAGAGACAAATGCAGATATGCTGTGAAGTGATTTCTGGACAATACTTTCCATGTGTCACTAGTAATATATTATAATATTGCTTTCATTATATACGATACATAGGAAGTGAATACATATTCTCATGAATGGCATCAGCTCATACCTCTAGCATTCAAAGCAAAATCACTGAGTGCCTTAATGAGACCTACATAAGTAATATCTCTGTTAGCCGGAACTCTCCAATAACTGAAACTTAAATTTTCTTGAAATAAAATTCCAGGTTTGGGAAAATTTTTTGAGGGGCACATTTTCTAGAAAATTTAAAGAAAAATTTCCTGGTAATGTACCTGGAAAAAATCTGGAGATGGATGATTTTTTCCGGGTTTGAGAGATGAAAATCGAGCACATTTTCCAGAAATTCTGAGAAAATTTTCCTGGTACAGTACCCAGAAAAATTCTGGGGATGGGGGATTTTCCCAGAGGTGCTCTACACCAATTTTTTCCAGCTAACAGACATATCACTGTACAGTACTCGCTTTATAGAAAACATGAATAAAGTACAGTATTAAATCAAAACACATATACATAAGAAAATTAGCTATCAAGGGATGGGACCTAAGCAAGGAGTTAAAAAGGTACTGTATTTCAGAGATGCATTGTACTTTCTACCTAGAGGCAATAAATCATGGGTTTTGAATGAAGCAAGAGATGACTTGCTTGAGGTCTGCATCTGGGGTAACCAGAATGGAAAGGGTAATTAATGTATGAGGAGTAAAGTGTGGCATTGATGAAGAGGTTTTCTGAGATGGTATGACATGTGAGGGGGAGGCAAAATGTGGGAGTAATAAAGAGGGTGTATACGATAAATGAAAAGGTGTGCTGGGGAGATGGAAATACCTAAACCATGGGATGGAAAAGTGTGAACAAAATATTAAAAAGATTAGAAAAAGACAGATAAACAGTGGTCCTTGTATCATGGTCACTCCCCTAAGAAGGGTGCACTCTAGAGCACTATAATTAAGAACAATTAAAGGATGTGATCTACACTACTTAAAAATAACAAGAGCACACTGGTATTATTATTTTCATCTTTGAAATGGTGAACAAATACTGTACTGACATAACTGCAATTTAAAAAAGGTGAAACATTTAGAGCTATGCACATAAACTGGGAAATTTCAAAAGGGAGATATATATAAATATAAATATATATATATATATATATATATATATATATATATATATATATATATATATATATATATATATATATATATATATATATATATATATATATATATATATGTGTGTGCAAGTAAATCACTGTAGGTGTGCATGATCTAGGTATATGCAGATAACCACAAGGAAAGAAGAAAACACGAAGTTCCCAAGCGCTTTCGTGTAATTCACATCTTCAGGGGTGAGTACAGACTAGAGAGAGAAATACAAATCAAGGTGTATATATACAGAGGAGGGTGAGACCAGGTCCACAATGGTCAGGTACTAGGTAATGACCCTATTTATCTTTAAATAGCACACAACGGTTGGTGGTCAGGTCAGATGGTCAGGTGACCCAGCCTTCTCACCTGGTCACAAATCTTCTTAATTACAAAATTGTCCAGCTTGTACATGCCGTTACTCAAATTCATGTCGAATGCTTCGGTATGTTTAATAAGACTAGATTCTATGATGTTCCTACTATCAATTGAATTACATGGTTAGTTTCTTCACTAAATCCCCTAGTTGGCAACATTTCTAACTCCAATATCAAGAACAATATGGATCTGGTTGATAAACTCAATAACTTACACATTAATTATAATTTTAAACTGGTCAGCTTTGATGTAACATCACTCTTTACAAAGGTCCCAGTTGATGATTTACTAGAGTTCCTCATAGATTCCCTGGATGATATTTCACTGCCCGTCTCGAAAGACGACTTCATCGAACTCATCAAACTATGTATTAAGGATTGCAAATTCGAATTCAATGGAGAATATTATGCTCAAAAATTTGGTATGGCAATGGGTAATCCACTCTCACCTGTATTAAGCAACCTATATATGGAATTCTTTGAAAAGAAACTATTAAGTAATATTTTACCACCCTCAGCAGTATGGTTTAGATATGTTGATGATGTATTATGTCTCTGGCCATGTAATGAGGACCTAAAAGCTTTCCTGCCACAACTTAACAACTTAGCCCCCTCGATCAAATTCACTGTGGAATTAGAGCAAGACTGTAAATTGCCATTCCTAGACTGTCTGATACACAGAATAGGTAACACTTTTAAGTTCAGTATTTATAGAAAACCAACTAATGTGTGTTCATACATTCATTATTATTCTGCCCACCATAATAAAGTCAAACAGTCAGTATTTTCAAAAATGTTTTTACGTGCCTTGAGAATTTGCAGTCCGGAATTCATCGATGAGGAATACAAATATATATATAATATTGGCTCAAACCTTAAATACCCTACATCTTTCATAGACAAATGCCTAAACATTACTAAGAAAACTTTTTATAGAACTGATCCCAAGCCCACCCATGACCATAAGAATATCTTAATATTACCATTTCACAAAAATTTCTCACACATTCCTTCACAACTAAAAACCTGGAATGTCAATGTGGCATTTAAAAACTCATGCACTGTTAAACAAATGTTAATCAAGAACTCCCACAACAACACAATTGGTTGCATTTATAAAGTTCCTTGCAAGGAATGTAATATGTTTTACTTATGTTTTACTTAGGCCAGACAGGTAAAGATCTTGCAACTAGAATTAAACAACACAAATACAGTGTTAGGACAGGCCAGGAATCCAATGCTCTGTTTGTTCATTTGAGGGATAACAAGCATTGCATTGACTGGGATAATGCCTCCTCAATATTACCATGTAATTCAATTGATAGTAGGAACATCATAGAATCTAGTCTTATTAAACATACCGAAGCATTCAACATGAATTTGAGTAACGGCATGTACAAGCTGGACAATTTTGTAATTAAGAAGATTTGTGACCAGGTGAGAAGGCCAGGTCACCTGACCATCTGACCTGACCACCAACCGTTGTGTGCTATTTAAAGATTAGTAGGGTCATTACCTAATACCTGACCATTGTGGACCTGGTCTCACCCTCCTCTGTATATATAAACCTTGATTTGTATTTCTCTCTCTAGTCTGTACTCACCCCTGAAGATGTGAATTACACGAAAGCGCTTGGGAACTTTGTGTTTTCTTCTTTCCTTGTGGTTATCTGCATATACCTAGATCACGCACACCTACAGTGATTTACTTGCATATATATATATATATATATATATATATATATATATATATATATATATATATATATATATATATATATATATATATATATATATATATATATATATATATATATATATATATATATATATATATATATATATATATATATATATATATATATATATATATATATATATATATATATATAAAATTTATTACAATGATCTAGTAGTGGACAATTCATATGAATAGGTCAGAGTTCCACACACATGTCAAACTGTGGTATGACTTGCCATTAAAGCAAAAGTGTAAATGAATAAAGTACAAATATCAGTTTATTTTTGCATTTTACTCACATCCCTAGCTACTGCAGATCAAAGCATAATACTGCTTCCAGGATACACAACCTGACCCCTGTGTGACATCAACTGTCCCCCTTCATGACCTACCTGGTGGTGACCTTGAAGCCGCCTGAGACAGTGACCTGAAACACAACAACCTTAAGGTCAGTTGTGTTGGTGGGAGTCTCACAGTGCCCGCACAATGTTTCTTAGGGTCAAAATTTTGTCACATACTGTACTACTAAATATATATGCCTTAACTTTTGGGGAGTCATCCTCTTAAAAAAAATTTCATGTCAATGCTGAAAGTGACAAAACTTTGATCCTTTCATAGTGTTTTTACAACCAATCACAGGATCTTGGATAATTCTCATTTATACATTTACAAAGGCATTTAGTTAATGTATTTATTTTTGTTTAAGCAGTGTGTAGATAGTGAAGAAGGCAGAGGGACTGTCTCTGCCATATAATATAAGTAAGAAAGAAGTGGGTTACAAGGGTTAATTAGGTGTTAAGATGATCCCTTTTCTTTTTCACAATTGTAAAGCTGAAATTCAAAGAAACTTGTAGGGATCTGATACACTCTTATTTCTAATAATTAATTGCTTAACAAACTTTCATGGTTTCAACAGTGCACAAGTTAGTGAAGAGTTCTATTCAAAGCAAGTTCAAAATTAATACAACAAATGTTCAATCAATTATATTCAAGAAACACTGCCCAAACAAGCTGCAATCTTTCTCATATCAGCATTCTCCTTATTATACAATTTCCATAATCCAGTTCTGTAATCTTAATAAGACTTACTTATTTTTGTGTAAACAATAACATAATTGAGATATTTCATTTACAAATGTGTAGGATTTTACATACATTATTCATATATATATTCATACAATTCAGTATTTATGGGTGATGACATACCCCACAACAGTGAGTCAATTTCTCGACTCATGGCCCCTGAATCATGTGATAGATTCCAGTCAGGAATGGTCAGAAATTTTTAACAGAGAAGTTAATGGAAAAAAGAGATGGTCGGAGTCAGTGGATGATCTTCTGAGGTCTAGGATACATAAGTGCAGAGGCTGAAAGAAAGCAGTGCTCGTCTCTTGTAATGTGGGTTGCTGGTCCATACCAAGGAAGTCCCAGGCCCTAGCTGTGCATGGGTACCAAATTTTATAGTTGGGTAAGTGGAGAAGATCAAGAGTAGTTCTGCCTCAACTGCAATATGTATGTATGTATGTATGTATGTATGTATGTATGTGTACTTGTGTACTTTTCATAATATATAACACAAAATTCAGATTGTCTGTATATCACGTGAGGCAGGGTTGGAATTATATTACAATAACATTGCTGAAGACAGTGGAGTAGAAGCTCAAAGCATAACAGTGGACTATCAGTGATCTGCTTCAGTTTATTAAATGGAGATGAACAGTGAGTGAAGGTATAAAATGGGGAAGATCACAGGTGGGTATAGTGTCAATGGGTGTATGAAAGGTAATAACTTGGTGTATTGAGGATCCTTCTTGAATCAGCAAACGATACAGAAAGAAATGACAACCAAACTACAGGTGCACGTCAGTTATTGTCAACCTACAACCAAACTAGACGTTATTTTGCCACAGATCAATAATAAACAAGTTTAATAAACCTGTCCACAGCTAAAATGAAGCTGTTTACAAGATGGCTAATAGTTATGATTCTTTATCTTTATATATCATGTAGATCCACAACGGAAAAGTGAACAAGATAAATCTCGATAAAACCACACAGGAAAAGGGAAACAATGGAGCAACTTAGCTTTTATCTTTTTCAGTTGCCTCTGAAGATGTCTTGAATAAATATCAAAGCTAAAGTGCTCCACTGTTTCCCTTTTCCTGTGTGGTTATATATATACAGTGGTCCCTCAATTAACGAACACAATTGGTTCCACAGAGTCGGTTGTTAACTGAAAATTTCGTTAACCGAATCTATTATTTCAATGGGATATTGGGTAATTGGTTCCAACTCACAGAAAAAGTACATACAAAGTATTGTATACCGGAAACAGAATTAACAAAACATTAAATATAAGCAAAATACAGTACTGTACAGCATACTGTACAATAATAAATAAAAAACAATAGAATACTGTATTTGAACTTACTTTGAGGTGTGTATGTAGTATTCCCAGCAGCTTTTACATATCAAACAGCTGATTGTAGAGGCAGTCGATGATGACATACCATTTTCTTTACAGAGTGCATTGGTCTAATGCCTTCATGTTTCACAATAATTTCTGCACTGTATATTATCAATATGTTCACTAAATTTCAGAATGACCAATAATTTTAATGTAAAAATATTCAAGAGACCAACAAACTTGATGTTCACTACACTGTAAACAAAAGTTAAACTGAGAAACGTTGGTGGTTGATTCGATCAGCTAAAGGGCACACAAAAACTGTTCCCTGTACTGTATATATAATCAATATGTTAACTAAATATCAGAATGACCAATAATTTTAATAGAAAAAATGCAAAAATATTCACGAGCACAACTTTCTTGACATTTACTCCACTGGAAACAAATATAAACATAGAACCAATTACTGTATTGGCGGACTAGCCAATCAGCTGATGCGCACAACAAATCGTGTCTCTCGTAAGGCTGTCGTTAATCGAAGTTTTGTTCGTTAATGGAACTGAAAATCCTTATGGGAGCTAATTTGTTAACCGAAATTTCGTTAATTGAACCGTTCGTTAATCGAGGGACCACTGTACGTAACTTTCTTCATTTACTTTTACTCAGTTACCTGCACACACCATCCTACATACATATTGTGCAAAAATTTTAAAAGAAATAATTGTCCTAAGGGCAAACACTTAAACGGAATACTGTATACATTTCTTTGCACACGAGTTAGCGGGCTCAGTGAGGGATTGGGAGGAGAGTGCAGAGTGTAGGGGGGAGTTACTAGGGAATCAGCGTCCCAGCTGGTATCCGTTCCTATGGTGACGTAGGGAATGTATGCAAGTGGCGACTGTGTTAACTGAAACCATTGTTTCAATGGGATTTTGGGTAATTGGTTCCAGCTCACCGAAAATTACATACAAACTAAAAATAAATGCAGTAAAGTACACTTACTTTGAGGAGTGCATGTAGAAGGCTTATGTGTGTGACCGGGGAACGTTACCTCTAGACCACTAAAAGCAGTCCTAGACTATGTTATATTTCACACAAAGCCTGTTCATCGAGCTTATGGCGCCGTGAACCTCCAATTTGCGACAAAAACAGCTTGGGCTGAGTTCTGAGGCTACAAACACTTTTACTGCTAGTCGTGGCTGGTTAATAGGATTAAAAAACGAGCAAACCTTCATAATATTCATGTAACTGGTGAAGCAGCCAGTGCACTTGAGGTGGTTGCAAGTAGCTCCCCAGAAACATTGAAAGAAATTATCAAGAGTGGTGGCTATAGTGTGAAGCAGCTGTTTAAAATTTATGAAACTGAACTTTTTTGGAAGCGAACGGCCTCCAGAATATACATAGATCAAGAAGAAACAACAACACCAGGGTTTAAGGCAGCAACAGACCGCTTGACGCCAGTTTTGAGGGGCAACGTTGAAGGTGATGTGAAACTGAAACACAGGCTGGTTTATCATAATGAGACTCCACGTGCACTGAAGGCCGTCCTCAAAAACCAGCTTCCTGTGATCTGGCATTATAACGCTAAGGTGTGGGTGACAAGTGTTTTGATTAAGGCCTACGTCAAAGGCTATTTCACACACTTTGTAAAAAATATTGAGAGAACAAATTATCTAATAAAGTGTTATTGCTGCTTGATAAAACACCAGAACATCCATCAGCTATGAAAGAGTGGTGTAAGAATGTGGAGGTTGTCTTTTTACCTCCAAACAACTTTCCTGATTCAGCACGTGGATCAGGGAATCATTGCTACTTTCAAGACGCATTACCTTCGCTGCACCATCCAGCAGCTGATTCATGAGATATAGGGAGAAAATAGGCCAACAATACGACAATTCTGGAAAGACTTTAATATAAAGAAAGCTCTGGAAAATATTAAAGAGGCCTGGGATGAAGTTCCCGCCTCTGGAATGAAAGGTGTGCGGAAAGAAAATTTACCAGTGTTTATGGATTCTCCGGATTCCCACAATCACCAGCTGATACAAACCAGCAGATCGTGGAGCTGGTTCAGCAAGCAGGATTTAATGAAGTTGATGAGGAAAACAAAGAGGATCTGCTTGAAGGACATGGTGAAGACCTAACCAATGATGAACTGCTACAGCAGGAAGAGGAAGAACCAATTGCACCCCCTAAGCCGAAAACGTTGACTCTGAAAGGTGTTAGGCGAATTCTCGACTTAGTCAGTCAAACTGTAGCAGGCATGGCTGAAGAGGATCCTGATACAAAGCGTGAGGAGACCATCATTGTAGGTATCAAACAACTAACCTCTTTCTATAAAGAAGTTGAGAGAAATCTTGAGCAACAAGCAACCCAGCCAACACTCCACCTTTTCTTTAAAAAGAAAACAACAACCTCAGTTCATCCGCCTGTCATCACTCGGCCAACTGCTGCTACCACCACAACTGCAATGCCAGCCACCTCTCCTCCCCCTGCTGACACCACCACAGTCCTGTCACCTGAGGACTACAGCAGTAATCACAGTGCCTCAAGTGAAGAGGCAGATGACCCCGCTTTAAGTAACTGTGTTCTCTGGCCTCAGGTGAGAAACAACCACTGCACCTATTGCTTTCGACATGGATTTGGTGAGTACAGTAACACTATTTGTACCTTTATGTTTTACAGGTTTTGTTGCTTTTATCTACAGTATTTTGATGTATTGCAATTATTGTGTCACTGAGCTTAGTACAGGAACACATCTCCCCTTAGTACAATAATTCATATGGGAAAGTGGTTTCGATGAAAAAAATCCACTTAACAAAAGCATTGTAGTGGAACGTGTGTGTGTGTGTGTGTGTACTTGTGAGCAGCAAGTACAAATTATATAACCAAGACAAAGACAGATTAGAAGGAAGAAATGAGGGAATACAATATGTGAGACAGGTATTCAGCGGAGAAGTGAGCAAACAATTCCGAGTCCCAGCACATTCTTAAGAGTACAGTACCCGTATTTGATAAAATTGATTTATTAAATAACTAAACAACATATCTTAACTTTCAACGGCAGTACTGTACCTGATGCAACTTCTGAGTTTAGCATCTGTGACAAAATTGAAAATACTGTACGTACACAGAAATACTAGTGATTATGAGGTTATCCTACCTTTGGCATCTTGAAGGCAGGAGGCACTCGAAGATGAAACTTATCTACACACAAGTTCTCTAATCGTTCAATTGCTGAAAGACAAGAACAGTCAATAAGAAGAGAGGCCGTCGTGTACTTTCTTTCTATAACCAGTTCTTAGCAACAAATAAGTAATATATAAAACATAAAAAGCAAAAACTTTCATGACTTTCCCTTAAAAAGCCCGGCTACCTGTATCATAAATAGTGAATCTTTTTTTTTACTAATATACCTTTCTCTCTACAGCTACCATATGCATTCTCCCAAGCATCCATCAACCTGTTGTAATACCGGGGCTTATCCATAAACCCAAAGTAGGAATATGTTTCTACTGTAGGGAAAATTCGCATGAACCTGGAAAAAAAATAATGAAAAATTTAATAAAACAAATAGTATCCATGCATGTGGATATATGAAGATTTTAGAAAGTTTTTGCTCAAACATTAAAACACTGTCACCATACTTAATCTGAATTCTTAAACCAAGCCTAAATTCCCTCTATTACTGTACATACATGGAGCAAGCATGAAACAATAAATATTATATGTACATAAATGAAAAACACTGTACAGTACTGAACTACCAATTATGATTAATATGCATCCATTTAAATTATACTCACTTCCCAGCTCTGTGCAATTCATCCTCTGATGCTAGAAGATGCCGGACATCATCAGAAGACAGATTTTCTATTGCAAACACTAAATACTGGCTACGTGGCAAAGCATTCACTTGTATGTGTTTTACCTGTTCATAAAAATGAAAGAAAAGCACCTTATTGTTGGCCCAATTACCCTAAAACCAATTACTCCACTTCTGTATATCCTAAGGTCAGTTAATCAGCCTTCTCATACAGTTTTCAAGTTCCTGCCTCAACAAGAATGTAAGATTAATATATGTAATTACTAAAGTTTTCCGAGATCAGGAATGACATCTTTTTACAGAACGGAAATTAAAATTACATATTATTTTACATTAAGCACAATACCACCTTTAAAGTGCTTTCTTTTAATTACTGTACAAGCAAATAAAGAGAAAGGTCTAATTTAAAAAGAGAATGTAACTTTGCCAGAAACTGTCATACCTACTCACCAATGCTTCTATTTTCACTTTAGAAGATAATCACAAGTGAGCATAGAAATGTGTTTTGTACTTCAGTAAAAAACCTCAATTTGAAATAATAGGGGCTCTAGCTCTTATAAATTGGGAGATTGATGCAACATTCTAAATACAGTACCAGATTAAGGATTATCAGACATAAGGGCTTAAACAATGGGCAATGGTCAAAAAATAATTGGTAAAAGCTTGCGCAGTAGACTGTAGATGTGCACTACATGACTGACCAATGTGAACTGACCATCACCCACCTGTGTGATGTGTATGGTACTTGTTTAGTGAGGTGGGCAGTAGGGTGGTTCAAAAATTAAAAGTTGGAATTTTGGTTTAGACACATGTCGCCCGAATACCTTTACCCCAAACATGCCTTCAGGCAAACTTTCAGTTCCTTATCTCAATATTCAGGGGTCCCGCATTTCGTAAGCAGTGAGGGTAAACTACTCTCTGAAGAGGAACATCTTAAGAGCATAAATGGCCTTTGCCATCCATCTGGCTTGGTGGAAGGCCCCAGGTGCCCTGATCTTCACACCTCCCTCTGGAATTTCCCCCAAGGTGTATGACAGGACAATGAGTTCCTTGTAATCATCCCTGAGGTGAGCTAGAATTTTTATGAGACTAAAATAACTAAACGTTTTGCGGGACCCCTAAACAACATCCAATTTTCTTCAACTTTTATACAAAGCGAGTGTACATGAAGTGCAACGATGGCACCATGTGCTCGCTTGGTTCAGACAACTTTCAAATTTTCACCCTATAATTTGGACCACACTAGTGGGGCGTCGCATCCCATGGCCACAAGGCGATATATATATATATATATATATATATATATATATATATGTATATATGTATATATGTATATATATATATGTATATGTATATATATATATATATGTATATATATATATATATATATATATATATATATATATATATATATATATATATATATATATATATATATATATATATATATATATATATATATATATATATATATATATATATATATATATATATATATATATATATATATATATATTCCTAAATGTCTCTAATATTCCAAAATTTTACAAAATACTGTATTACAAAAATTATAATGCTGTATACATTTTGTAATGGTAAAACATTACGAATTACCTACGAGTGATTTCGAATTTGAGAGGTACGAATTATGGTTTTTTTTACTGTACAGTAGTCATATAATCCAATACAGTAGTAAACACTTTCATTTTCCAATAAACTGACCTGTTCTTCTGCCGTGAGCAATCTGGTGTACAACCGACGATCCAGACACAAGCCGGTCACTTTATCTCCAAGGTTATATTCTCCCAGAAGATTCATCTATTAGCAGAAATAATGAGTGAATATCACTTGACATGTCATATAGCACTTTTGTATCACATTAAAAATGAAAACTGACAATTATGTTTAATTTATATGATTAACAACTACATTTCAGTTATCATTATCTTTTGCTCTTAATCAGTTGCTAATGATTCCCCACTCTCTCATCCTCAATACATGTATGTGTAATAATGATACACAAGGAATATGAAACTTCAATAAATGATGGCTGTCATCCCTACAAATAACTTCCACAGATGAAGGCTGCCATTTAAAGATTAATGTTAAAAATGAGGGGCAATGAATCATGTTGAAGGTTTACCTGCTGCTGTTGGCTCAGTTTGTCTGGGATATGGAAAGCCACCATATTGAGAAGATCAGCAATAAGTGGCCCCTTCACAGAGTGATCCAAAGGTGAGGCAGAATGTAGCGATGGAGAAATGTTCACCTCCAGGAGCCAGGGCCGAAGTCGCTCATCAATTATCACATCAAATCCAAACAATTCATGACAAGAGTACCTGTCACACAACCAAGGTCTTCCATTATTATCTCAGATATAATTAAATGTCCAATGTGTAAATGGCAATGAAAGAATATAAAGAGAAAAAGGAGAGACAAGAGGCACAGTCCATCCCTTCAATGTTTGTCACAGAGGACCATCACTGTAATAGGTAACTGGATAGAATATTTTGAAAAGTTTCTGATAATTAATGATGAGGAAAAGGCAAGGACTGATTGCAAGGGGGAGAGAGAAAAAGTGATGGAAAACATGTGTGCAGAATGAAATACCTAGAAGAAAATTTGTGATAAAACTCCAGCCTGATATTTTAATAGGCACCTGGAGGTGTTTAGTGTGCAACAAATGGGACCATTAAAAGCACTTGTCAGATATTAGGCATAACACAAACAAAAATAAAAAAATTCTGGCATCTGAAGTAATCATGGGCACCTGTGGGGCTCCTGATGCCATTAGGATGATTTATAAAATATCTTGTGATCATTATGAGCCGTAAAAATAGTACCAATCATTATGAGCACATGTGAGTGGATGTAAGGCAACAAGTGATCTCAATATCCACAATGCTGTCAACTGTTTGCATTTCTCACTACTATGAAAACCACAAACCACTCTACACACACAAGCATTAATAAATCTTATGTTCTTACCTAGAGCGAACGTTTTTCCTTGAGCGCACCACTATGTCATGCTCTCCACTAATTATAGTCTTTATCACAAGGTCAGCAATTCGACTCCACAAAGCTGATGTGTCTACATCTTTAGCCTGGAACAAAATGTTTGTAGATGGTGAAAACTGGAAATTTTACAAATTATTCAAAACTAAAGAGGTAATTTTGGTTATGTTATCAACCAACCCCTTACTGAATAAACATATTCTCTGATCACCAATTTACTGCTTAGTGATCCTTCCTAACAGTTTGGAAGCTAATGTAAAATACATTCTCCCAGTTGTTCAACAAAAATCTTGAAAAGTTGTCATACCTGTGTCTGCACATTAAACATTTCCTGTGCCTGTGCAGAAATATCCAATATTCTCTTAAAAACCCAAATTCAGTTTTAAAAAGAAAGTATAAAAATATTATGTCACTGAATCTACTAATACAGTATTCTCTTCCACAAGAGAGTAACTTACTTTCAGATAACCCCAGAGGGACTTTATCGTCCACTTGTGTCCCTGACATTGTCCTGCATCAGCATTGTGTGTATAAGATGATGAGGATTTGTTTACACTGTAGTTGGTCAAGTGCATGTACCTGTCATTCAGGCTGGTAGATGCATTGTTGTATTGTACTGCAATAAAAGTTAATGTAGGTTTTAACTGGAGAAATTGAGAAAAATATTTTGCAAAAAAGTAATCAGTGGAGTAAAGTAGGGTCTAATTTACCCATGGAAAGCACAAGTCCAAACCAAATAAAGGTACTGTACTGGAATATCAATTATTGGTGTTCAAATGCATATTTTAAAAATATGGACTGGAGAAATTATTTCTAATATTGAGCAAAAGTTGAGCAAGTTTCAGGTCACTATTAATGTCACGAAAACACACACAGTAAAAGGAAAGTTCTCAGCCAGGCCCATAATGTAAAAGAATAAGACAGGCCATAATAGAGAAAAATGGAAGACATTCTGTATATTTCATGAATAATCTCATTAAAAGGAGAGGTATAATTATTCAATATACATAATTAATCAATATACAAATTAAAATTGCTTTAATATACTGTAAATGATCCCTCCTGATAGTTCTTTTTTTTTTTTGCCAAAATTCATGTAGTTATAATTCTGCCAAGTGTTAGAACAATTATCAGAAAAATAAGAGTTTTTAAAGACCCCGGTGTGGAAAAGATAGACACACTGGACAGTACAAGAGTCTGGCTCCTTAATGGAAGATAGTCCAATTACACACACCAGTAGCACTGAAAATTTACATACCTGAGGCAAATCTTACAAGCCCATCTTGGTAGAGATATATTCTTAGTGGATGGAAGGATGTTACTAGTACATAAATACGAATGTCAAACTTGGTATCATTGATGAGGTAAGGGCGGCTGATGTATCTCTGAACCACTACGGGGGAGTCATGAGGCACTTGTGACCACTTGTGGACAACCTGAAGAAAGAAACATAATACTGTACTCCTGGACAGCTTGTAGATCTGGCAAGTTTTACATTTCCAACAGGAAAATAAGACAATGGCAGACTTACTGTACAAGTAGTGACAGATATATTACCACTAGAGGATGAAGTCAGTTGCAAAGAATTTAATCGATAACGCCCAGGCATGTGGGTGTTGGCGACTAAACTCCTTCATATAGCATCTGGCTTTCCATACATAACATTAAACTGACTATTTCCTCAAGTCTTAATATCTCTGCCATCCTTGTTGATTTGTTATGATTCCCTTCGTTGAAAAATATACAAAATAAAAGAGAGAGAGAGAACAACATATGAGACACTGTATATTACATGTATTTGGGAACCATGAAATTAAAAATAAAATAAAATTATCATACTGTATACTATAACACTATCTATTATTATCATCTAGTCTGTAATAAATCGTTATCTCTACGATGGCCTACAACTCGCACAACAAAATGTGAATATTTTCTTCATCAAACAGACAAATCATAACATCCAACAAAAGATACTGATCCCTTACCACCGCTGCCTTGTATTTACCTGTATACCCGTGCCTCTCGCAGAAGCTGGGGGTTTAACTATCCATTTCTTTTTAACACCTTCCTTATCAAAGGCAGCTTTCAAAGCCTTGAGATCTCCTGGAAGAACGAACGTCTTTGGGATAAAACCAAACCTGAAAAGAAAAACAGGATAATGAGGATATTTACTAAAGCTGTCTTGAAATGTGTAGACTAATAATGTGTTGTAAATTTCTTGCTGTAGAATATCATAAACCTTCCCAGTAATATCTGTGAGGGCCAGGATGCACTCTGGAAGGCTGACTTCACACTGTTGACACTATGCGCAACTTTGATTTTCATTATATTTGTAAATGTGATTGAATTAAGTCCGTACAGGTATTCACCTACTGTATTTACGATGGGCTACGTTCCTAAAAAACCCATTGCATGTCAAAATATCGTAAAATGTGATCCTTAAAAGATGGGGTTCAATGGGCAACATTTCCAGCCAGTCCAACACCCACTTGTATCACTAAAAATAGAATTCCTACAATAATAATATACATAAAACACAATTAAACAACACTCATCATTAAGAACAAGTCTGGTTGGTCCTCATCACATGTCTCCTTCAAGGCTAAGGGAACTCTTGAAGGTGGAGTGGAGACATGCCATTAAGAGAGCTCAGGCTCTCAATTGGCTCAGCCATGTCAAGACAGTACAGCCCCCCCCCCCAAATTCGCAGAGGTTAGGCTCTCAAAATGGCCGCGAATAGCCAAATCCGTGAATAGCATTTTTACTTGTGTAAAAAGAAATGTATATTCCCTTTATGTGTTTGCCCTTAGGACAATCATTTCTTTTACCTGTATTGTATGTATGTATGTATGTATGTATGTATGTATGTATGTATGTATGTATGTGTGTGTGTGTGTGTGTGTAGACACAAATAAATAATAATGGGAAAATACCCTCACAAATATTCAGAAATAAATTTATTAATAAAGTAATAAAGCACAGACTGTCACATTTTTAATAAATTTGTTTCTGATTACAGTATTTATAAGATTATTTTCCCATTATTATTTATTTGTATGCGTTTTGTGTGTGTGTGTCTACACACAAATGCACACACACACACAATACAGGTAAAGGAAATTACTGTCTCTATAACGAATGGCTCCCTGTCCGAGCCGCAAAAATGCCGGCAACTTTAAAACTACCCACAGACATTCTTGGGTACATCCAGGGTGTCATCCGCAAATAATAGAGGACCGCGAAATAAATATCCGCTGTGTTGATTTATGAGTGTTTGTTTTAACATAATACTATAAAAAAACAATGCTTTGTTTATTCTAGGAGCTGGGCTAAGGTGCATCTGGGTAGACTGTTAGTCTTTTGTGTTTCTCTCAAATACCAAACTAAATTATTCCATTGAAACACTTTGATTCAGTGCGAATTCGGTTTAAAGGGATCTCTCTTGGAACACATCTCGCATCGTTATATCAACGCTCTACTAATATATGTATGTATGTATGTATGTGTATATATATATATATATATATATATATATATATATATATATATATATATATATATATATATATATATATATATATATATATATATATATATATATATATATATATATATATATATATATATATATATATATATATATATATATATATATATATATTAGTAGAGCATGAATTACACGAAAGCGCTTGGGAACTTCGTGTTTTCTTCTTTCCTTGTGGTTATCGGCATATACCGTATATATATATATACTGTATATATAAAGATACTGACCAATATAATATAATCTTGAGCTACATGATTACGTGTGATAACCACGGAACAAAGTTTTAGACTGTAGTGCACCGGGTGGCCACGTGCGGGTAGACTGCAGCTGTGAAGTGCGCCGAAAGCTGCATTCTATATTCTGCGTTTGCCAGACGATAACCATTGTTCTTCCGAATTTATTTATTGTAAATAGAGGGGGGTCTTAATACACCACTATCCTTCAAGCAAAATATCGTAGATAGGGTGATCACAAATCGGGGACACCTGTACAGGTATGTTGAGCATTGGGGTGTCTGGTCTCATTCAAGAAATTTTCAAGGAATTAATGCAACAAATGCCTGAGACATGATACATATAATGGCAATTCAAAATTATGTTAGAAGCCTAATTTCTCAAATTAAATCTTGTTACGCAAGCAACTTACTCGTCCTTTCCAAATTTTGTCTGCAGACGCAGGAAGTTCTTCCACAGCTTATCTTTTCGACCAACTTGAAAAGTACCTGGGAAGTGGTTTATCTTCTGAAACTCCCGTACAGCTTTGAAACATGGGGACTTCATATGCTTACCCCAGGTTCCACACCACTGCAAGGTTTCTGATGGAGACAAGAGAAGATGAGAAAATGATCTATCATTCTTCTACAGTATTCACATTCTTAAAAATATCAGTACCCCAACTATTAAAAATGAAACACATTCTTATAAAATATTCAAAGCTAGTAAAAATTAACAAATTCCTAAAAATATCATAACTACTGCTAAAATAAAAGGGCCACTTACTTTTTGTGATCCGGAATCCAGAATTTGCAATGGTTTTTCTAACAATGAGCGGCGTGATGTTGGTGAATCGCCATTTCAGTAATCTCCCAATAACCAACGGAAATTCAACTGTTTTCTCGTTGTACTGGCAGAAGTTAATTGAAGGCGGTACATGAGAGAACAGACTAGGACTCAAGGACGGCAGTGGAGAAGGCGCTGGAGTTTCAGTGTACAGCAATGAACCTGCAGGGGGTGGAAACAAACATTTTTTTGTACAAATTTCGTAGACAAATTCAGCTTTATTTTACATGTACTCTTATTTTCACAGGCATCATCTAATAAATAAAAGCACTGCTATCTCTACAATCCCAGACTAAACAATGAACTAAATTCTAAGGTTCTCAAGAGGATATGAGAACAGGCAGCAGAAATTAATGAGGCAGCATAGAGCACGTACATAGTGTATCATCTCGCCAATAAGCATGGAGGAAAAAAATCTATATCTTTTACTTATACAGTATTGTATGGGTATCCATTTCTGTTTACAAGACCAAATGTAAAGTAAAGGGAGCTACCATAAGTCACATACACAATTTTATATCAATGAATTTTTAAGCTTTAAATCACACTCATTAGAATGACTAAGTTCTGAGAAGCTAATACAAACTAATTAAAGCAAGAATTATTACCCATTCATTACCATAACTACATTTCATCCTCTAATACAATAAAACCCTACTATATAACAGTCATGTGGTGATACAGTTAACTGCATCACTTGTGAACCTTCATCCTATGGAAAATAATGGGATATGTTCCAAGACTGGGAAATCTGTAATGCTGTCAGCTGACATCACCAACCACCCAGGTACAGCAGCTAATTGGCACAGCTCCACCCTCACACACACCACTTAAACCCACAACCCTATACAGTACAGTTATCCATGTACAATATGCAAAACAGAGGTAAGAGAAGCAGAGCACCATTATTTCAGGCAACATGAGTCATGTATAGTTGATATTTAAGAAAACTTAAATACTGTACTGTACTCTGTACAGGATTACCTTGCTATTCACAACTCCGCTTATCTGTAATTCATATTTTAACACCTTTATTCAATATTCACAAAGTATACATTGCTTTTTTGCAAGAAAATAAAATTATGATACCCCACAGTAATACAGGTATGTCAAAGCAACATAAGACTCACGTCACACGAGTTTTTTCCACGCATGAAAAAATAGGCCGAGCATTCTAGAATTCTTCATAGGACAGTGGTTAACGCTAGTTTAAACATTTACACTTACTGTATTTACAAACATCGTACACACACTCACCCAGATAAAAGTCCCTTTGTTTGATTTTATGTTATTGTAGTTGTTTTATTGCAATACGTACTGTATAGGGCGTGCAGCTGTATATTAAAAAGTATTTTGCTATAAAAAAAAAATATGAAGAGCATAGGTGTGTGTAGACTTGGCAGGTCACTAAGTTAGATTATCCCTGTAGCTACATTCCCCTAGCTCTCCTCCTCCCAGTCGAAGCTGTTATAGTTATTTTTCAACTCGTAACTTCAAGTAGATACAGTGGTCCCTCAATTAACGAACACAATTGGCTCCACAGAGTCGTTCGTTAACCGAAAATTTCGTTAAGTGAATCTATTATTTCAATGGGATATTGGGTAATTGGTTCCAACTCACAGAAAAAGTATATACGTACAGCGGGGCCTGGGGGACGAAAATGTAATAATAATAATAATAATAATAATAATAATAATAATGATGATGATGATGATGATGATGATAATAATAATAAAGAACCATAAAGAAATGCAAAAAATTAAAAAAAAAATCAAAAGTGAGAAACAATATATGTATGTTGTGTTGTCAATAGTAAGTGAAACAAATGAGTGTAAATGAGGCCGAAAGTCAGATCAGCAACCTGGGACTTGGTCACAATTTTCGTGATGACATATGGCAGCAGGGTCTACCATTAGACAATACATTATGCTTCCAATATCTTCCCAGGCGGTAGTACCTCCTTTTCTCATAAGTTAAGTGATTCAAGATGTATAAAAGGACTTGGGCTATGATACAGTGCACATAGGATATGTTGCAACTTACGAACATTTTTTACTTAAGAACGTCCTCAGGAACGGAACTTGTTCATAAACCGGGACACTGTTATATACTGTACAAGTAACTTACCATCTTCATTTGCTGCAACTCCATGTTCATTGATACATATTGTGTTCATTGCTTCACTCGTCACTGACCGCAGGGAGCATGTTGACCCAACTGTCACACAACTGATTACACTCTGATCATCTGAAAAAATTTAAAAATAAATAAATAAATAAATAAAAATTACTTACTAGTATTTAACTAATGACAACATTCAATAAAAAGCCAAATCTTGCTCCTTAAACAAAAAAATTACGTAATCAGTACACAGCGCGATCACTAACGTTGGGACTCGAAAATACATAATGCGAAAAATATTTTATACGACCATGGCCGTCATGTGTCCGGGTTGTTTTAAGTCGAGGAGAAACTGTACTGTACAGCAGTGGTCCCCAACCTGTAGTTTGCGGGCGCCATAGCACCTGCAGAACCATATTATGGAGCCTGCAAAGGTTTATTAGAAAATTTTGCATTATAGTCTCTCCTTGACTTACGACATATTCAACTGTAACACCACTCAAACCTCCCTAAAGTATTACGTAACACAACACTAAACACCCTCCCTTCCCCTCCCGGACTCACAAAAACTGCTCCAGATCACACCAACAGCTGAATAATATGCAGGGGTGGACAAGACCCCTAAAATTTGCACAGAAGTGCAAATTTTCATAAATTTTGTGCGAATGCGTACAAAAATGATGAGCATTTGACGCAGGTAGTTAATAATAGGGTTGTCTCGTTCTGTGCGAGGGAGTAGTTCTCATCACAACCATTATATCCATCAATACAGAGCATCGTAAGTGCGTATAATGTACTTTGGAGGTTTTGCGCTGTGACCAGACATAAAGCAGGTATATTCCGCAGCATATAAAAAAATTTCCCTTCCGCGACATGCAGTAGTTGTTCTGTATTGAGTGCTCTATGTAAGGTGATATAGTGTTATGTGCCTGACACAGCATAAATGTTGCTAAAATCCAAGTTTTCTGGCAGTGCCATTCTTATTTGATGTCAAATTTATATGAGCAAACAAGGGGCCAGAGCAAGCGTGGCCCCTCTAAATTTGTATATTTTTCCAACAATATCTCAAGCAAAATCAGTTTCATTGTACATTAAATCAAAAATTGCCTTTGTTTTCTGCAAAGGTAATTTTATGTAAATGGTGTGCACCATTAAAATAGCATTGATATTGATAGGATAATAGAGAATGAATAACTAATACTGTGTTTTCCAACAATTCCAGGCACATTACAACATTTTGCTGATACTGAATATGGCAACAACACAAAAATCAGAAAAAGAAGCTTTGTTCCTGCAGCTTGTAAGTGGTTATGGGAAAGCCTACCCTAGTAAATCAAAACTGTCCAGACAGAGGTTTCTCAAATATGGCACAACTTGAAGAATCATCATCTTGGTGCTGATCTGAATAGTGCTGTTGCACAAAAGCTTCAGGAATGGAAGCAACAGGAAATGAAACAAAAAGGAAGGATCCTATCATTATGTGGAAAGGTAGGCCTAACTTAACACAGTATTTTATACATTTTTAGTCTATATCTTGTATGACTTTTAGCAAATTAATATTGCAATAAAAATTTGAAAAATGTGTCACTAACAGGGTATGCAGTAAACACAGTCTGCAAATTGTTAGCTGTAGTTTTAGTTGAATGTTTCTTCTACATGTATACAACAAATACACATTGGGTATAATATTTAATCTGACATTCATTTTTCTTCACCCAACAGCTTCCCAAAGCTGGAATACAGAAAGAGCAAGCTGACCCTGAAGACAAAGCTGATGATCCTAATACATACAGGGACTGTTGAAATTGGCAGTGAAAGAGCATTTCCCAGTGAAGCAGGCCATTACCACTCCAAAACAAGACCAGCTGAATCTCAAATTATGTGAACTTCAGGATCATGTCAATGAGCTGTACACAACAAAAGGGTTGTGGCGTGCTTACAGATGAAGAATGCAAATCTTTGAAAAGGAAAGAAACAGAAATTGATGAGTTGAAGAAAGCGCTGAAGAAGACTAAACAGAATTACGAAAGACAAAGAAAGTTTCAAGAAAATTACAAAAGCAAACTTGAAGAATTGGATGAAGCAACAAGAAAAAAGCTGAAGGGCAATTCATCCTCAACCAAAGGAAGGTCACCAAAGATTACAGATGATAATTTGTTACATATTGCCATTGTAGAACTTGCAATTGGAGGCTCTGCAGCAGATGAGAAAAGACACTCTGAAGTAATCAGAACTGTCAAGACTCTGGATGACTTAACAGCTGCTTTACATACAAAGGGTTTTCAATTATCACACAGCTCAATTTATTTGTGACTTGAAATTCCTCAACTCGAGAGGGAAAATGACATGTGAAAACAGTTCCCGTTAAACTAATGAGGTCTGTTAGATCTGGGACAACACACATGAACCACCCCAGGACACAAATATTTAGACGGAGAACTTAATTTTCAGAAATATTTAGTTTTTGACATGCAAACAATATATCAGGAATATATACATAAAATATATTTGTTTTCAATATTAAAGTTGTATTACTTGCTTTCACCTTTATCTGAAAACATTGAATATGCATGTATTTGACAAGGTATAGAAAGACCTCAGTACATATATTTTCTTTACAATTCCTAGTACGCTTTTAGTATTAAAGACTTCCAAACATTACATCTGTATTATGTAAGCTTTACTTTATTTTTCCTGTTACATAACACTTCTCCTGACACCCCCCACCCCCAATCTGCATTACGTAATTTTTCAATGGCACCTTATCTTTTGCACTCGGAGGAAAAAAATTAATAATCTGTACTCTGCCTGGGCATGCTCAGCAGAACACACAATTTACACCACTGCAGTAGATCGTTGATATAATATAAATACATTCCAAGAGAGGTCGCTTTAAACCGAATTCGCACTAAATCAAAGTGTTTCAATGGAATAATTTAGTTTGGTACTTGAGAGAAACACAAAATACTAAAAAGACCGAGAGTCTACCCAGATACACCTCAGCCCATCTCCTAGAATAAACAAAACATTGTTTTTTGTAGTATTATGTTAAAACAAACACTCATAAATCAACACAGCTAAAACTAAGGGATGTGAAATGGTCTGTTTACTGGCTGGGAAGATGGGGGGGGGAGGGGGGGGAAGGGGGGAGGGGAGGTGAGGTGATGTGTTTGACAGTTGATGTTAAGATTTAGTGCTTATTTATTTATTTATATATCCTTAGGTGTGATTTTAAGGTTTTCTCTTATAAAATGTCACTGAACTGACATGGCAGAATATAATTAACATTGCTGGAATTCTTATAAGATAGTGATTAATTTGAATATAAACATGCTATAGCTCGCATTAGACATACAAATTTTAGTTCTAATTTAAGAATTTTATTACAGAGCAAAAAATTTTTATCTCTTGTGCAAAATATATGATGTTTATATTAAAATTATTTCCTGTATTGCAAGGATTCCAGCAATACAATTTATAATCTCCTAACTTTAGTCTGTGACATTATATAAGATAAAAACTTTAAGCCTAAAACACCAAACCCTGGTTGGGAAGATGGGGGGGGGGTGACAGTGAAATGTTTGACAGTTGGTGCTGAAGATCTACTGAAGTATTTATGCTTGAGTTTGTTTTTTGTTTTTAAAATGTCACAGAAGTGACCAGGGAGAATATAATTTACATTGCTGGAATTCTTATAAGATAGTGATTAATTTGAATATAATCATGCTATAGTTTGCACTAGACAAAAATTTTAGTACGGTAATCATTTAGTACACTATTTTGAGTACATGTACAGTACAGCTTTAGGACAGTGTAGTATGCCCAGAGAATCATTGGGCGCGAATTTTAAATATGATGCACCAGATTGACTCGTGCAAAATAGGAAAGATTCGCTTTAAATTAAAACATTGTCCTTAATTGTGGGTGTCGCTTTAAATCAATAATCTTAAATTGAATCGCTTTAAATTGACATTCTACTGTATTATCAAGGGAAACATGAATTTTTTCACAACTTTTCTTCTGTAACTATCTTTTGCTAAATATGTTTGTTTTATAATGAAATAAGGTTCATATTGCAATCACTTAAATAATGCAGGTATAAAGTGATGTACATAAACATTTTTATTAAGCGTAAACAAAAACTTAGTAATCTACTCGCACTTACGTTTCAAAATAATTATTTTATTGTATTAATCATATAAAACTGTTTGTAGATAATTTATTTACAATGCCAATGCAACAAACCCCACCCTTTTATCTCAAATAGCAAGCTTACTATGACTCATTATCTCTCGTGTGGTGAGGTTAGTAACTGGCCAGACCCCAAGCATCTCGTTGTAGAGCTCCTCCCAAACCCAAGAGTGTTAATACATACAGTAGCTATTTTCTCATTCATACGGTCCATTATCAAACTTTTATCTACCAAAAGTAAAATAAGATAGTTAAGATTAGGTTGGCTTATACTGCTATCATTAGCTACTACAGTATAAACTGTTTTTTTCCTTGCTACCATACCTGACTTACAGTATACAGTAATGTATCAGCAAAAATAACATAAGATAAATCCCAAGAAATTAAAATGACCATCTCTTTTTCCTTAGTTGCTAAATGAGATTTCCTAACACAAACATATATTGAACCCTGTAAAGTGCTTAGAACTGACAAGAAAAGTGAAAAAGAAAGGAAAAGCAGAATTGAGTGAGGACACAATATGGCAATTAAGTAAAATAAAACAATCACCTGATGATGATGAACACTGAGGGTAAAAGGTAATGAATGGGAACACAAATAAATATTAAACTACAATACTGTACAGCACTGTATATACACAAGTTTCAGTACTGTACAATATTGACTCTTGGTCCCAAACCTTCAATTCAACTTCCAAAATCTGGCTACTGAAATTCTAACATTGGTATTATTATCGTTTCGATCATCCAGCGAGGTTAGGTTTAGGTTAAATTAGGTTTGTTGGTGCATTTTGAATGATTCTGACCATTTCCAATAGGTGGACAACAGAAACGAAAATTTTACCCAAACATTTATAAACCTTTCTATCAAGTTAAGCTTTACTAACATTTGACCAACACACACACACACACAATATTTTTATTTAAACAACCACAATAAAGTTAAACATGGAACAATATAAAGAAAATTATTGCCTACAGTATTTCTTTTTAAGTTTTCCACAAATCCATAAACCACAAATCAATCCCAATACTCTTGTACTGTACAGTATTCAACTCAACATTGGATTACTGTAGCAACATATGGAGTACAGTGAGAATGAAGTACCTTGTACAGTACAGCATCTTCCCAGGTTTTTGACATACAGTAAACTGTACATTGCAGAAAGGTTGAGCCATTCAACCCACCCACATGAGTGGAACCCATAAACAGTTAGTTGGCATGCCTGTGGAACCAGTGACACCATTCACTGTGTTGGGCAGTAGGGTTTCAGTATACTTCATTCTCTCTCTTATTGTACACTAACTGTAAAGTACAACACAGAAGACTTACCTTCTCCACAGCTTTCTTCATCTTCATTGTTTGTGAGAGTCAATTCATCCTCTTCATCGTCATCTGATGAATCAAGGTAGTTGTCATCATCCTCCAACTCTTCATTTGGTTCACAAGCACCATTTAAAGTTGGTGGATCTAGGACAGATGAGTTAGCCACTCCACCAGAACATCCCTCTGGCAGCTGAGTTACATATTCTAAAGTTGCAGCACAATGTGGAGACAGTCCACCACTTGCAGTTCCATTAGATATAGATCTACTATGGCCTGGATATACTCCAGCAACTAAATTTTGTTCAGTCAAATCCACATCACTGTTATTTTTACAATCTCTAGTACTGTCACATCTGGCACAATCTCCAGCCACTATATTATCACTACTACTACTATCCCATTTGGTACAAGAACAGGCGGGTTCCATGTTTTGTGTGCTTATCTCTTGTCCTCCCTCTAGTCTAGAAGTTCTAACATTACGTTCACACAGGGGAGTTGGTTCCCCTTTCACACAACAGTCTGTAGGAGGTATGGCACTATCCTGACATGTAGCTAATGGTTCCATTGGATCTGACCCACTTTTGGTGCGCTGTCGTTTATTATGCACTGGAAATGGAGCATTTTCACTCTCAGCAACACTTGCATTTTCTGGGCTGTGCCTTTTGCAAATAGTTTGCTGTGTTGTGTTGGTGGGCAGCCGAGTAGGAGCAGAGGCCTCTGAGACCTTCATAGTGTTTCGCTGCTGTCCACCAACCAGGGGATTGAGGGGTAGTCGCTGTGATGAGGACCACACACACGAGTGATTGAACATCCTATCTCCACACCAACATTATCTGCCAAGAAAATAAATGTTTAGTTAATATCTGTGGGAAAGTAAGCAGATTGGCAAGTCCAAATTTAACAAATATGTTATGACGGCCCTACTCACAAACACCCGCACTTACGAATGGAATCCCAATACAGTACATACTTCACTTTAACGAGTTCCACATAAAAAGATTCGTCGCAAACGACAGTAATGAAATGCGACAAAACACATTAACAATCAGTAATGCAAGTTGAGTCACTCTGGGCGGCCATCTTGATGGCGTCAGTGAGCGGGGTGGTTTGTTTTGATCAGTGTGTGAACAGGTGGTGTGGTGTAACCTACTCTCTTATCTGTGTGTGATCTATTAGGTTATTTACCACTAGACTTCACTAGCTTTGGAGACTGAATTATCAGTTGGTGGTGATGCTGGGGAAGCAGCGCAGTGTGAGAGAGTGGGAGCAGGGGGGCACTAACACCACTCCACTGCTTTGGATGTCAGCAAACAGTCTCATTAAGCAGTTCAGTGAGTGTCTAAAGGCTAGTTATTATTAGTTATTAACTTTACATGCAGTATTAATGTGTGAATATGTGGTTGTAATTTTTTTGTTGGGTTTACAGGGGTTATAGGGGGTGAGTGTCGAGGGCTGGTACCAATTGACCCACTTGGCATGCAAACTATACTCACCACATTAACGACCATTTTTATGGTACCAATAAGTCATTAAAGTGAAGTACAGTGGTCTCTCGGTTAACGAATGCCTCGGTTAACGAATTACCTTCCATAAGAAAATTCAATTCGGTTAACGAACAAAAATTCGGTTAACGAAATTCTTACGAAAATATTTCAACATGCTTTGGCTTGCTCACCAGCTGGAAGATTAGTCCGCTAATACAGAAATCGGTTTTAGGGCTTACATTCGTTAAAATTGGAGTAAATATCAAGAAGGTTGTACTATTCAATAATTTTCCAAGTTTTATATTATTATTTTTAGTCATTTTAACACGTATTTAACATAATTGCAGTACAGGGAACTAGTTTTTGGTGTGCCCATCAGCCACTTCACTCACCCACCAAGGCCTCTGTTGGTGTCTCTGTTCAGTGGAGGAAACATCTTGCTTGTGGGTCTCTTGAACACAAGAGTATTTTTAAATTTTTACAGTACAATTATTGGTCATTCTGAAATTTGTTTAACCTATTGACAATATATAGTGCAGTGTTGATTTAAATGCAGTGCAGTGTTGAATTACACCTAGTGAACTTAAAATTTTATGGGTGAAATGACGGCATCAAGCATGGGGTGATTTCTCTTTCATCCCCACTTCCTTCTCTTCTCACTTCTCCTCCACCCCCACTTCTAATTCCCATCATCATCATCAACCAGGAGCCTTCTACATACACACCTCAAAGTAAGTGTACTTTATTGCATTTTTTTTACTTTTTATGTAATTTTCGGTGAGCTGGAACCAATTACACAAAATCCCATTGAAACAATGGTTTCGGTCAACGAAATTTTCAGTTAACGAACGATCTTCTGAAACGAATTGTGTTCATTAACCGAGGGACCACTATATGGACAGTACATTCATAGCAAAAACTTGTATATGTAATTACAATCCCATTTTTACATTACTTTATTGCATGGGCTGGGTTGTGCTTTAACCTAATCTAAACTATGGAATTCACTGTTTTGACTAAGAAACAAATCGACTTACGATCAGGGTCCAAGAATGTATCCCCGTCATAAGTCAGGGATGCCTGTACTGTATGTATATTATATCCACTGCGTATAAAGTCATGAGAATTTTCCTCCTGTTGAAAGAGGAAACCCAACTTCCTAACCTTCGTAAGTCAGTACAGTATTAAGTTGCAAAATAGAAAATTGATCTTGGATTCCTAATTTATAACCAAGCCACAGCTAGGCAGCAAATGATGGGCACTCATAAGGCCTGCAGGTTGAAGACACCCACACCATACTGGCTGAGAACCTGCATTTTTGTTTCTCCTTGGTGTTATGATCCACCTTCTGGTAAAATAGTGTAAGGGAGGGTGTAAATGGGTCCACAAACTCAAAAACTCTCATTTAAATGACCCAACCCAATTCAACCTTCAAAGTGACCTCTTGATAGGTCCCCCTTTTGTCTAGCTATACATGACCATAAGAATACACAATAACCTCTGAAAAGACAATACAGTGAACCCTCGAAGATCCGGACTAAAAGTGGGGGACCCACCTATAGTGATAAACAAATTACCGTATATAAACCATGCATTTACCTATGATAACATAATAAGAAACATTGTATCATTACTAGTGAATGAAATAATATTCCCACAGACAACAATTGTCAACTCTGTTTATGTTTTCCACCTCCTCAGGCACCTGTATCCAAGCAACTGACTGGTCAAACAGCGCCCACGGACCTAAAATATTCTTTGCTCTGATTTGGGAATGTTTCCTAGGAAAACTTCTAGGAGGCTTCTTCACCCAGAACCACCAAATTTTTTGTCCGGATCTTCTGAAATCCGGATTTCCCGGGTCCGGATCTTCGAGGGTTTACTGTACCTGTATTATGTGCATGCTGTAACCTTGAAATGGAACCCAAATAATCCATCCAACCTTCAGGCAAATTGAAACTTCTAAAGTTTATTTCAGATCATAAGTTATTCCTTCAAAGAGCCAAACTCTTGAGCCTGGTGAAAATTTGTCTTACAGAATAAGCTGTTATTTACTGTGCAACTGATTGTGAACTTAGATTGGTATGTTACTAAATAGCAAACAAGACTTACAACATAATGAAAGAAAGGGAAAAACCACTTTATTATGATATTACAGTAGAGTAATGCCAAGAACCTTGAAGTTCAACCCTAAAAAGTGTTCACAAGTACTGAAAATTAAGGCAAGTGCAATGTTGGGGGGACAACATCTACAGGGAATGGGAAGAGCAGAAATGAAACTAAGCGGTGGATCCCATATTAATAGGTTATAATGCACAGTACATATAGGTCCAAGTCAAGGCAGAGTTTGTTGCTAGTCCAGTCAATCACCCTTACCATCTTTTCAAGTTTAGTCCAAGACATGAGAAGGGCAAGGCTCCTAGTCTGTTTTTAGATTATGATCTTATAAATACATGACCATATCATACTAAAACAAAATATATACAGTACTGTGCTGTATGTATGTCTGCAAAATTATTAATGTGTTACACACAGCCTGTACATACATGTAAAACACTGGCAATACCACACAATACACTCAAATACTAGACATCACTATTATAGCTTGCATCCAGACACTGAAAATTTATGTAAATACAGCACAGTACATTGTTTATTCATGGCCATTTCATTTATTTCATAAAGATAAATTCTCAAGGAATCAATCAAGGACATAAGGACATGGCAGAGTTCCAAGTGTTAAGACCTAGAGTATATTATTATGCATACGGTATTTGTTATTTGATAGCTCTACCAATGATAACCAACTGGTCTCCACTGAGTTTCAGTAAGGGCCATCTCCTGTGGCTCCAGTGTAGGAGTACTATATTGAACATATCAGGTTTTCACTGGACACTGCAGTTTCCAAATCACCTGAAGATTAGCCCCCAACTTATCTCACCTGATGATTAAACACCCTGTTGCTACTGGGTTTGGTTAGATTAGTGCCAAGGTGGTAGATCTTAAAACATGGAACAAGATGGGGTAGCTATTCTTCAGGTGATCTGGGAAATGGCGTGCCCTGTGATTAACTGCAATGTTCAGTTCTGTTACACTGGACAACACTCTTCTCACATGAATTCCATGATTGCATCTGGGATGCACTGGTGAGAGGAAAGCATAAAATCACTACTACACTACAGACAGTGAGTCCTGATACAGTAGTACCAAGACAAGACCAAGTCATTGACAATTTGGTCACTTACATAGAGTAAGGAATATGGAGGTCCTGTTTTTGACAGATGACACAAACCAACTAATGTTAGTCAACAACTGTCAAGGTAGCTTAGGCTGCATTATATAATTTGCTGCAAAATTTGACAAATTCTACAATGTGTACTGCCTGCTTCCTATTAAACTTATACCCAATTATCACAACCTTGAACTAAATTTTTCCTGTTTTCCAGTTGACATCAAATTGGTGGCTGTGACTACTGGTAAGAACTCAGATCCAGCTCATAATTAAATTTTATTAATATTAACAAGTAAGGTTAGCACAGACTGTGTATAAAATAACCATTAATGAAAGTTAACCAGAATAGTGAAAAACTTAACAATCAAATAATTGGATCATATAAAGGTTGGGCACCTCAACATATTTCACCGGATTAAACACCCAAATACCTGTGCTAACTGGAAGGTTAGGTTTGGTTGGCACAAAGGTGTTTAACCCTTACAGTTAAAGGATGTACCTTGTACATCCTAGTTCACCAAGCTCCATGACATTGGTGGAGAGCTCTGACACTAGTCATATTACTACAATACTGTACTCTAATATTCCATTTGTCTTATTACCACTGATATACTGTACAGGGTTTTTTGTGTGTGTGTTGGAGTGAGTATTGAGGTGGTGATGTGTGGGAGTGACTGTTGTATTATAGTGATAATGTAAGTTTGAGTAACTGAATATTTATGCACCAAAAATTGGAGGGAAATTTAGGGTGGTCAAAGTACATTTTCTCTAATTTAAATGAACTAACAATTATTTTATTAAGGGAACCTGAAAAAAATAAATCACCAAAAAAATGCTCATACATCAGCATGTTATCCCATCATAGTCATAAGTGTTACAAATAATGTACCGTATATATTGAATTGTAAATAATCACTGAGAAATAAGAAATAAAAGAGAGAGAGAATACAACAGTAAGCATAACTGGGGAATATAACATGGATATTAAATATTATAAGCCAAGCACAGGTAAAATATGGATCATACACGACACCTCTGACAGGGGATTCGGGGCCATATCGGCCCTTTGCAGCAAAGGGGTAAAATTGGGGTAGCTAATCTTCATGTGATCCAAATAACTATTGACCAAAACTAATCACATTGTCTCTCGCAAGAATGAATGCTTCTCAAAAAATCTAACCTAACCTCGAGCGAGAGACATGACCATTTCTGAAAATAAACTGGAACAAGCCAAACTTAACAATCAAACCTTAAGATCCTTGGATTGGAAAAATATAGTTTCAGTCATCCCTGTATTTAGATACCCTAACCTAATCTAACCTAAGCTAACCTAGCCATAGTATCCAGGATCTATATCTAACCTAAAATATTCCTAAGTTGACCAAAACTAATACCCTTTGGTATAATCTGTATTCCATGTTCCACACTGCTGATCACAGGCAATGTTCACCATTACTACACTGTGCACACCAAGGCCGTTCACCTTATACACAGACTATACTGTACACACAACTCTTTTGCACAAGTAAATTACAAGCCAGACCTGGGATGGTTGCCGTTCCTAATAAACATATTTGGATAAAAATGGTTATGTTAATTTGTAAACCTACAGTACACACTACAGCCATAACTTTCATTAACACTAGGCTTTCCTATTTAATGATTAATATTGAAGCCCATTATATAATTCTAAACCCTAGTCATACATAACACAAAAACATCATTGTATAAACTATAATGAAACAACAAACAAGAAGAAATCAATAAATGCAATTCATAATCACCTACCAAGCCGCTTTCCTCAAATATGGAGCATTTTGTTTTTCCTCCTCCCCGTTATGTAACACAGAAAACTAATGCTGTATTTGTTCATTCATATGTAACTACTGGACAACTGTAAAACTCATTATGTTGATGACTATCTACACTGGCATGACTACATTTTGTTAATTAAAGAGCCACGGGAGACAGTGTTGTTGGGCCACAGTGGACCCCTGCGCCCTCACCACAACTTGGGACAATGACCTTGGCCATTTTCTAATCACTCTCCATTCCTAATCTACGCTTTCGAGGCTTAATACACCCTCACTGATCTCGAATGAAGTATTTTAGAAAGTATGGAAGATGACACAGTCAGTGTAGGAGAGGAAGAACGGGTACGCGGCCGCACCTCCTGGGGATCAGAGCACCACTGAGTGAACGAAGGTCTTCACGCACCAGAGTTCACCACCTCCATTTACACTTATCACTTCCTCAACCACCTTTCCGTGTTTCTAACGTATTCAACTCTAAATTTACAGCCCAAGGCAAGTCCTACACCAGGGATAAGTTCTCATAATTATACAAAATTACCATTAACGAGGATATTACCGTAATTCCCGCGTGATTCTTATGGCTCCTTCAATCTTCGTTCAGGAGGACCCACACAATGGATAAGAGGGCTATATATAAAATTAAATTATAAATTACTCACAAAGTCCAGCAGTGCCACAGCATCCTTGAAATAAAGATATGTGTCCCTTCTGTCTTCCACTCGTCCTTGGAGTTCACCAATCGACGCACAGGAGCCACAAGAAGTAAATAATCAGAGATGTGTGGATGAAGGTATGGGAGACCTCGCCATGTCAGGAGCGGAGGCGCCGGGGTGGCCTCTCAACTGCGCATGCGTTCTCGCGCCAAGTTTGAATTATGAATTATAATTATCATTTATTACCAATTATATGATGATATTAATAATTATCATAAATATTATAAATATGCATATAGCCTAGGATATATTTGGGGTAATAATTGTGATGATTAATGCAACAGTAATAACAGTTATAAAATTATAATAATGGATGAAAAATAATAACAATGAAAATTAAATTACTACTACTACTACTACTACTACTACTACTACTACTAATAATAATAATAATAATAATAATAATAATAATAATAATGTAATAATAATAATAATAATAATAATAATAATAATAATAATAATAATAATAATAATAATAATAATAATAATAATAATAATAATAATAATAATAATAATAATAATAATAATAATAATAATAATAATAATAATAATAATAATAATAATAATTATAATAATAATAATAATAATAATAATAATAATAATAATAGGCTAATAATAATAATAATAATAAAAGTTATAATAATAATAATAATAATAATAATAATAATAATAATAATAATAATAATAACAATAATTCCAGAGGCCAACATACACAAGTACTGTCTCGCCCCATTAGTTGATGTACACTGAACAGTGTTATTTTGTCAAAATAAAAATAAAGCCAATTTTTGTTCACTGGTACTTGGAGGCTTCACCTGAGCATCTTTCTACCGGATCTTAAAGTGGTCCAAATGTAACGGTATTAATTATATCTTTATAACTTGCTATATATCGATCTCCATTACATCACAATATGATTCATTTTGGGAGTAAGTTTTTTACACTAATATAAACATTACTGTAGGAGGAAGGATTTTAATGTAATAAAGAAATGTTAATGGAAATGTTTGCTTACTTATTTCAAATTGTTAAGGCTTTATAAATGTTGAGAAATGGGGAGGCGTTGAATAAATTCTTTTCCTTGGTGTTCACAAGAGATGGTGCGAACAATCTTCCTGCGTTTGAGGACAGACGGTTCTTCTTTTTCTTTTATCCTCTTCACCAAAAGATCGGCTGGTTAGCCGCTTGGCCGATCGGTCACGTCTCTGTCACGCACTGTTGGCAAGTACTGGGCATGCACCAGCTCCTGAATGCACCTGATCCCGCTCCAGTGTTGGTCAAGTCTTGTCTTGAAAGAGCTCACACTCGGTGCCGTCACAACACTCTCTGGTAGATTGTTCCAAGAGTTTACAACCCTCACTCCGAAAAAGTTTGCCCTCACAGTTTTCTGGACTTGCGGCTTCTTCAATCTTGAGCTGTGACCCCTTGTGGGTCACAGCTCAAGCACTAAAGTACAAACTAGAAGTCATGGAAGACGAAATATATGCTCAACTAAAAACAGAGGACACCACAAGATCACACAACTGGTGGCCTAAAAGCCTTCTCTATAACCTTCAAGAGATACAACTACTGTACACTAATCAACAAACAAATGACACATCCTTAATTACACCTTTTGACCAACACTAACAAGCACCCTAGTGAAACTTTTTCTTAATTCATATATACGCTCTGCTGGAGGGCACACTCGGATCTTTTGATATAATTAATTGCGGCTTATGAAAGAGGAAACTGCATGTGAAATAAATCTGTAGCGAACCGTACATGTATCATATCATTTATTAGGTTAGCTGAGTCTAAAGGCATTCAGTGTAAATGCTTTATTCGAAACATATTTATGCGTGATATGCTTTACACAGACATCAAATAAGTGTAAAACAATTAATTTTGCAATCATAAGTATTGTGAGTGTACAATAATACAGTAATCACTATGAACAGGGTTGTGAATATACAATAGTTCTTCCTAAGAAGAACATGGAACTGATTATAAAGTTCTGAATCTATCACAATTTTGCTCTATAATTTTGGGCCAAGATTCTGAAAGGTTTTTGCGATAAATAATCCTCGTAAATGAAGATATACGAACGTACAGTCCCCTTCACTCGTGCGTTTACAGGGGCTCATCAGGTTTTGTGCAGTGTGGCAACGCTGTTTGTTTACATTCGTCAGCAGGAAAAAAAGCAATAGTAAACAAACTATGGATCAATTTAAGGCAATATTGAAACAAATATCTCAAAGATAATGATTTGTGGAATGTTTATATGACGAGTCCCTGTAAACGCACGAGTGAAGGGGACTGTACATGAAAATAACAATACATTTTGACTGAGTCTCTACCTTAAATAAATACATTCACGTAGAACCAGTTAAGGAACATAATTAAAATAAAGTATATTTTTAATAATTCTGTGTCTTAATTTTTATTTCCAAACTGGTGCTAGTCTTAGTTAAAATTTGATGTTATTTTAGGCCAGTATTTTTGTGTTTTATTTTAAGAATCTTTCAGATTATATAGACCTTGTTTAAGTGAAGTTAGGTTAGGTTAGGTAAGGTTAGCGAGTGAGACTGGTGGTGTGGAACACCTTTGGTTAGGTTAGGTAAGGTTAGCGAGTGAGAATGGTGGTGTCGAAGACCTCTGGTTAGGGACGATCAGTCTCCTGTACAGTTAAGAAAGTTAATTAGTAACAAAAAGCAACAGTTAGATCATTAATATCGACAGTGAATATAAAAATTACTTCAAGTTTATAGCGTTCCTTGTCTGTTGAGTCATCGAAAAACCTAGATTTTAATTGTGACCAACAAGCCTATATTTTTTTTACATATAATCATTCAAAGTCTGGGCATTCATTTTCGTTTACTATATACTTCTTTCACTGTTTATGAATCGCATTGGGAAAATAGGACGAAAATAAGGTAATAGATAAGTGTGAAAATGTATGGACATACAGTGGCAGGAAGTTACCTGTATTGCACCAGGACCTGAGGATGACGTGAGCCAGGAAGACCAGAATAGCTGAGAGGTAGCCCATGCCCAAGATGAGGAAGGCGCCCTGGGGTATAGTATATTTTAATAATAATTGATAATTAAGGTGAATACAGATGTCAGATACACACATACACAGATATAATAATAATAATGGATGCCCCTGAAGATCGAGGATGGCCGGCCCTTGGGCAGGCCACCTTGGCGTGAATTTGTTTACGGTTTAGAAGCTGTCGCCAACACAACAACCACACCCTAAGCTAACAAGTTGCATGAACCGGTGTCAAGGAACAGTCCGAGAAGACCGGACAACTCACCAACTGCACTGGCTAACCATTACCCCGGAACACGAACCGCAAATCGATTAACATCCAGGTTCACAATTACTGTTGGGTAGACAGAGGCAAATAGCGTAAAGAAACGTGCCCATACACAGATACTCAAACGCATACACACAAAAAACACACACACATGCACAGGTGCCATAAACAGTATGGTATCAACCCTGAATCTCTGACAAGACACCATACACCATCTTACCTGAAGGTGGTTGAGAGAGATGGGCTCAGGCCCCTTGAGTGTGTCGTGTTCAGCAGTGGTCATCTTCACCACCGTGTTCACCTGGTCCTGTGTCCACCAGGCCTGACTCCACTGTTCTGAGCAAACTGGAGGAGAAAACAAAAGCGACATGATGATGGAAACAACCCAATTATAAAACTGTGCAGGAAAATGCCACAGTAATATATATATATATATATATATATATATATATATATATATATATATATATATATATATATATAACAAAAGCCAGTTTCAATTCATTAAACTAGATATGGGGCTGAACGCTAAAACCGGTTTTGGCTTCTGGAAGTCAAGTTTTTGTTTTTTAGCTTGGCTTTGGCTTCAAAGTGACAGGCCTGGTTTCTGATTTTCTTCTTAAAACACGCACACTGACCATATTGTGACGTCACAACTTCCGATCCCTGACTTTTCTGCTCCCACAATGACCAAGAAAGCCGACGTGCATGTTACACCTGTTACGTTACAACTGATTCCTCCTATTTCTATTGGTCTACTCGTATGCTCACATGACCTGGCCTGAAACTCGAACAAGCACCACCCCTGCCTCCTGTGCCCCAGGTGCTGTTGGCTGACTGACAGCACCTTTGAAATTCCGAAAATGATTCGTTGCAATGCTTCTCTGTGATTTGTGGTTGTATAATACTATGTTTATGTTATCATGTATACTTTGTACATTTTTCAGATTACTGATTTGTTTTGAGTAATGTATAAAAAAATAATATAATAAATGAATGAATGAATGAAATGAATGATGATGAATAATTATTAAAAAAATAATGAGCATAAAATAAAATACAATACTGTAAGCTTATCTCATTAAAAAGGGGATGCAATATACGGTATATTATATAAGAAATATTATAAAAGTTTCGTGTAGCCTTGTGGTGCTTCTTGAGCATTTTAAGGCCATATGTAAGAACAGCCGTCGAGTACACAATGCTTTGGTATCCCAATGACCGAACGAACCGAACAAGCCGTTCGAGCTCTAGCTCGCTGTATTCTGCGTGTTCGCCAGTGCTCGTCTTATTCCCACCGTTTTCCTCAGTTTAAGTATGGATTTGACAGTGGCAGCAGGTGCTTTCTTCTTTATTTATTCCTTAGCAAAAAAAAAAGAAAAAAACGAGGAAATTAGGAAAATGTGCAATTTCGACACACACTTCCTGTGTGCCTGTAAAACAAAATAGTATTTAAACAGTTTGTATTATGATACAATAATGTGATTTCTCATTTATTTATAGTTATTATTTTTCATCATATACATGAATTTTGACGCTTGATAGTTAATTGGTAAAATAGCTTACCTCTGCCAATCTCGACGGTTTTCTTTCATTTTGCCTTTTCCCTCCTGAAGCTGGCAAGTAAGCTTTCCATTTTCTTCTTCGCTTCTCCGGGGAACATTCAATAATTTGTGCAATGCTAACCCATCAATCATGCTTCTTGGCCATATTGGGGATTCCAAAACTCAGGATATTTCTCATATTCACCAAATAAGGTTAAACATTTCTCTCTGATAAATATAAACACACCGAACAGCGCCAACAAACGTCCTGCTTGGGCACCAACTAGCAACTGAATCCTTTTGAGCAGTGAGCACCCTCTATTTACTGACAAGCTATGGAAAAAGTTCGGCGCGCTCGAATCGGCACAGAGACACGTACTTACTCACCGAATTCTGCTTTGCGCTGTCTGCTCATTCGGTTCTGACTAAAATGCCTAAGTCAAGACGCACCATTGAAAAGCCTTGGCTTCGGCCTCACGACTTTTTAAATGGCTGGCTCCGGGTTTCTGCCTTTCCAATGCCTTTGGGTTCGAAGCCGGAGGCTTGGTTTGGGCCCCATGTCTGCATTAGACAGAAATAAAGAACCAACACTGGACTCAGGACAATGAAGGTCATAACATAGTAAAGAACAGACCCCACCCCCCCTCTGAACGGCCAGTGAGTTGAAAAGTGGTGAAATTATGTTTAGTTTATAAAAAAAAGGACTAAACACTATACCAGTTTGTAGCTAAAAACATGATATACACACTCTGATAACTTCCCACGAACGTTAACATAGATTCTCACACTCTTTCGAACACCTTCTTGTAGGGCGCGCCGGACTTGCAGGCGACACCGTAGCTCTGGGGATACATGGTCTGTCGCCCCAAGTGGTAATTCTCACGTCCTCGCACCATGGAACGGATGACAGAGCCCAGTCTGGCGTTGACAAAGACCTGCTTATCTTTGAGAACCTGGGATGGTGAGGAGAACTTTATGTATTATTGAAGAACCTCCCAAGAGAGAGAACTGTGATATTTTCTTTTTAACACCTTCCTTACAGAGAAGCCACTTTTAATATTTTATTTGGCTAACACCAGACAATTTTATTCACCTCAAAGGAGATCTCCACTAAAGAAGAAAGTAATATGCTACTACTACTACTACTACTAATAATAATAATAATAAAAATAATAATAATATTGATAGTAATAATAGCTACAGTAGTAGTAGTCGTTGTTGTTGTTATAGTTTGTGTTGCCTCACCATGTCCATAGCGTGGTCGATGGTGGGACTGAAGCTCCTAGTAGGGTGACGCGCCTCCCACACCTTCCGAAAGATCCCCGTTTTTGCCTCCTACAGGAAGACGCAAATTAAATACCTGACCGGTAACTGTTCACAAGTTTCTTCCTATATAAACAAACTCATGTTGTTTTCTTTTCAAATTGCGATTAACTCATTGTCTACCCTTCCCTCGCTTACACTAAACGTATCCCGCTTACTTCCGTTTATCTTTAACTCCCCCCCCCCCTCCCCTTGACTCGTAGTTATTTTTTTTTCTTTATTTACTCGTGGTTTTCCCTCTGTTTTTTGTGTTACTGGTTGAATCAGTGAACTTTTAGTGTTAACTCTGTATTCATAAATTGTGGTCAGTAAAATAACTATCTATCTATCTACAGTTGCCAGCAAAAGTTCTCCCACAGCCCTGCTACACAGGGCTGTGGGAGAACTTTTGCTGGTAACTGTACCTTAGTGGCGTGGATTACGAAAAAAATATGACTCAATTGTGCACTGTGTGGTACAAGCACCAAATTTGGCAAGAATGTTCTATTGGCTTTTCTGAACAAATCTAGATGTGGAACCACTTTGAAATACAGTACCTCCATTATCATCCCTTTTTAACATGACTACTGTGATTTGCGAATTCCGGATTTTTTTCTTGAAACTACCATATTTCCATTACTATTGAACATTGGAACATATTTTATGAATAAAAATCTTTGCACTAACCCAAAGCATATCCTATAATAGGACAATGATCACCGTTCCCCTTTATTATCGCTTATATACTTAATGATGTGCAATTAAACTATAGAAGACATGATAAATCCATTCCCTGAGCAGACAGAAGATGTGGTGGTTCTTGATGCCAAGGATACTGCAGACCCGAGTATGACATTGGCGATTAGGACCATTGAGAAAGAAGGCTAGAAGCAATATCAAGATTTTGTGGATCAGTGACTGAAGGAAAGGAAGAAAACGTTATTCGAAACCATTCACAGGAATCAGTTCCCTCTCCCCAGTGCCCACAGGACAGGGCAAAGCTTCCAGTCAACTCCTTGAAAAGGTGACAGGTCAACGTTCTCACGGATGCATGTAGCATACCAAACACGAGGAGGTGACCTTGATGCCTTCTTCCAGAAGGACAATCAGGCATATCCCCTAGCCTTATCAGATCTAGGCCAACTCAAACAAGGATCAAAATCTGATATTCTTACTTGCTTGGAGGCAGACAGAGACAACTCAAACCAGGAAGCTCCAACTGTCACAAGACTGGGACTAGATGGGGCAGCAATCGTGAAACTTCTGCATCCCAGAGAAGTGAAGTCATTCACTGAATATTCAAATGGAGTGTTTCAGTCATATATTAAATCACAGCTCCAAAATGTACAGAGGTTAGATATTGTTTGGGAACAATATTTTTCAGACAGCTTCAAGAAAATGATCAGGATCAAAAGAGGGAAAAGGAGCAAAAGAGTACAGTTGATACCCAATGGTGCTATTACAAAGTGGCAGGAATTCATGGGAGTAGAAGCCAACAAAACAGAACTGTTTCTGTTTCTTACTTAGAGCTTGCAAACTAAGGACATCCCCGATGGGAAAGAAATATATGTGACAAGCAAATACAATGTGATCTTATGTACAGTTCCAGCCATGCAAAATGAACCACAGATTGTTCAATGCACACATGAAGAAGCTGACACCAGGATCTTTGTGCATGTTGCACATATGGTTAGTGTAGGCTACAAGGTGATGGTTAGAACAATGGATAGTGATGTGGTGAGGTTAGTTGTGTCTGTCGCCGCAAAATTGGATACTGAAATTTGGGTAGCATTTGGCACTGGGAATAATTTCCACTACATTGCAGCCCAGCTTATTGCAGAATCTCTTGGTTATGAAAAGACGCGAGCATTACCAGTGTTCCATGCTTTCACAGATTGTGACACTGTGTCCTCATTCAATTTTAGATGAAAGAAAACAGCCTGGACCACCTGGATGTCATACCCAGAGGTCACTAATACTTTCCTTGCTGTGGCTGATGCACCTCAGTCATTTGCTGAAGGCACTATGGCCATTCTGGAGAGGTAAGTTGTAATACTGTATGACAGAAATGGCAATAACGGCACAGTGAACATGGCAAGAAAAGACCTCTTCACAAGGAAAGGTAGAGAGATAGAACGTACCGTATCCCTCCATCACAAGCTGCTCTGCTCCAACACACAAAAAGAGTGGCATACTAGGCAGGCCACCTATGGGGACAAACTCTGGTATATAATCAGCCCTGTGTTACCCATGCCAAGTGACTGGGGCTATGAAAAGTCGCCATCTAGAGAATGGCAACCAGTATGGACCCTTTTACCTGAAGCAGCGAAGGCATGCAAAGAACTGGAACGTTGTGGGTACAAGTTAGGGTGTCAGAGTCGGTGCTCATGTAAAGGTCTCAGACTAAAATGTACTCCACTCTGTTTATGTAAAGGAAAGTGTCAGTGGTCAACAAGCTGACATAATTCGGG